ATCAGATCAGTTAACGTAATTATGTTGACGGGGAAACAGCTGGGATTAATTTACAGCTGTATCTAATGGTAATTAATTGAATCCATACAATGTATAAAACGACGGGGTTTTAGGTTGACGATGTGCGGGACTATTTCTTGGGTAGGAGTAGTTTACTTCCTGGAGTCTCATTGACACCTTGTATTCATATTAACCGCACACACATCACAGTGGTGTCAATATTTAACAAAGTGATGTGTGACAACATCATTTATACAGTGATATACTGGCATGCTTCACACAAATGTTAGCTAACATGTAATCACATGTAGTCATGGTATATCAGTCAGAAACACGAACATAAGTGTTTGCTGCTGTCGTTGCTTAAAAACGTGCATTTCCTCTGTAGAAAACAACTAGGAGTTGCTTCCACCTGCTGTCTTGAAATCTAATTCCTGCAAGAATTGGAAACATAACCTTTTCTGCCATTTACATGTTTACACTCTCTCCCTCTCTAGTTTATTGGCTGCATAATTGGAAGACAAGGCAGCAAGATCAATGAGATTCGGCAGGTCTCTGGAGCTCACATCAAAATTGCCAGTGCCACTGATGGCTCAGCCATGCGCCAAGTCACGATCACAGGCTCGCCGGCCAGCATCAGCGTCGCCCAGTACCTCATCAACGCCAGGTAAGACATAACGCAGGGGACCCACAGCCAGCAGGCCATCACATGGCGGCATGACGATAACACAGCCAGAGTTATTGTACTCGGAGCGAAGCCGGATTTGTTCCATCTCACTGCTCCGTTTTCTCTGTTGACTCTGCTTTTTAACACCGTCTTTGATACTTATGTTTTCTCCTCTCTCTCGCCTCCCTTCTCTTTTATCTCACCCATTCTCCAACTTTATTTTCCACCGTCTCCCCTAACCCCTTCACCATCTCAACCCCCCCCCCCCCCCCCCCCCCCAAACGCCCCCCCTGCAGCTTAGAGATGGCTAAATACACCATGCAGGCCGCTTCTTCTGCGAACCCAGTTGACCTCAACATGAGCTTCTCTCAGTCCGCTCCCAATGCCTCCAACGCTGCTACCTCTATGGCCGTCCTGGCGGCCTCCAACCAAGCCCCCACCATTAACGTCCACTCTCCCTCCACCTTACAAACCATCCAAAGCCCACATTACGCCGTCCCCGTTAGCAGCCTGCTTGGCATGAAAACTCTCCCTCTCCTGACTGTCCACCCTGCAGCCGCTTCCGGCCTAACTCATGGTTTGTGCCCTTACGCCGCGAAAATGTCAACCTCCGGCATGAAAAAATCAGAGCGGCAGAAGTTTGCTCCCTATTGATGTCTGCTTTTTAAGTCATAGTCAGTGTAGCTGACTGGTAAGACGTTGCTTAATGATTCAAAGGATAATTTAAGGTTAAGCACACATAGGCTTGCACATAGCTTACACCAGTGTGTGTGCGTGTGCGTGTGTGTGTGAGAGAGGTTTGCCAGTGTAGCGCTTGCCTTCCATAAATTGGGAGAGTATTAGAAACAGACTGAAAGCATGGTAGTAATCAAAACATGTCCTTGTTAATTACAACAGGCAGCGGAGGTGCATATTCACTCAGTATTATCCAGCAGACGTGCTTAACAATTAATGTGGGTAACTCAGGCTTGTATTAGTATCCTAGAAAACTAATTTTATTTTCAAATGGATTCGTGTTACAGAGCTTTATATGAAGACTTACTCCAGGAGAGTTATTTTACATGATGCACATATTGGTTTAGTTTTCTATTTCTGTAACTAGTTTACAATATTTCTCTTGTTAGATAATGCAACGGAGCATCATGTGACCTGGTGCTTTGTTGGCAGCGGGCTGTTGAAATGTTTGTCTTGTACAGTAGAAGTCAGTGTGTTAAGTATCTTTCAATAAGGGCTGTCAACTTAACCTTTCCTTCACTATAGGCTCTCCTCAGTGCTAACAGGCATGGGTGTTCTGTAGTAGCGTTGCGCTGTTGCAGTTCTGACGGGATTTTCCTAAAGCCACATTGGATTCTTGTGGATTTCACTCTTCGCAGTAATCCTCTAGAGCGGGACTGGCCAAACTAACTCATTCATTGTTTTTCTACGCCAGCTTTTTTTCCTGTTTATTTTCCAACCCAAACGGCAGGATTGCTTGGACTTTCAGCATCGGAAATGGACGCTGAGTAATTATTGTGAAAAATGTCTTATTCATCGTGTTCCTGGTGTGGGTCCAACTTCAAACAATGCAGAGTGTAATATTTGAAATTACTTTGGAATAAATGTGACTTTTTATGAATACAGATTGGTTGTTTTGTTCTACTTTTGTCAGCAAGAAAAAAACCTTTACATTTATGTTAAGTCTGACTCGTAAGGGATTTATGCATTGTTAACATAAGTGCCTTTGAACTAGTTATACTGTATATTAATCAGGGCAACACATTTCACTCAGCTGGAACTACTGTTTATAGCAGTTATTTTCTTTGTATAATTAAAAAAAACAAAAAACTTTGATCTCCTTTGTTTGACTTTATAAAGGTGCAGTGCATAATATATTTTTAGCACCTATTGGGATATGATTTTCACATTTTACTGATGCAAGCTGTTGACTTAAAACAAATTAACATTAAAATAAGGTTATATTGCCCTTGTGTTCTGCTTGACCCGTTTAAAACCACAGACCAGACAGCTAGGATAACATGGCTCATGTAACAAACAAAGAGAAAATGTTCACTTACAGCCCGGAAATATTAAACAGCAGTGATACTGGACTATGGAAAACAATGGAGCGCAGAAACAGCCGCCATTAGCAGTTGGCAACACGCAGACATTGAGAAGTTTGGCAGATATCAGAGCTTCCGTGGTATTATGGACGCAGTTTGCTGATGGCAGAACAAACTTTCCAGCCTGCACTCGCCTGGAAAGCAGAAGCAAACTTGGACTGACCTCCCAGTAAATATTCAACACAAGTTGTTCTCACGGGTCCTGGGAAAGAACAACTTAACCTCCAGTTGTGTGCTCAAGCCCACTGTAGGTTTGCCCCCATTTTTTACTCTACAAGGAGTTAGGGGCTTCTGCTCTGCCGGATCCGTGGAGTTTGGGTAGCGAGCCATATCGGAATGCTGAAGTGGATGTAATCAATAGTTAATGGAGGCAGAACATGTAATGACAGTGAAGGACGACATTTGAACTTGGGGGAAGGTGTAGCAGCAGAGAGCAGTGCTGCGTGTACGCTGATGGGTGCCCAGGGCAGTTATGAGTCCACGGCCAGCTTCTAATGCTATATTAATGATTTCCTTTTTTCAACCTGACACTGGCGGGAGTGAGGGGGCGGTTTTTGGGAGCGTTTTGCCATCACGCTGTTTCGAAAAAGCAATTCAAAGGAAAATAAGTACATGGGTTTTTTTTGGGTGTGGAGGGGGGGGTCAGAATTGCTGGAAAGTTTGTGGAAATTGGCAGGCAGAGCTGACACTCAATTCCTGATGAAAAAGCAGTACTCACTAAAAAATATTCCCCTATGGACAGATTACAAAAAACGTATGTAAACACAAAAAAAATCCATTTGGAGTTCTGTTCTATTTAGTTACTTTCAGTAGGATATTCCCTCCAGTTTTTCACCATAGGCCAGTGATATCATGAAGCATAATTGTGACGGTTCGTGTGTGGACCCCAATGCACTCAAGACTCCACGGATCTTTGACTCCTTAATTAAAACTCCAGAAACAGCGGCGGAGTAACGATACCACAAAGGGCGGCTTCACCGGGAGTTAAACGGGGACACGCAGGGTCGGCACCAGGCGATCCGTCTGAATAGTGCTTGTCTGGCATGAAAACAGATGCACAATCTGGCTCTTTGTGTGTGTGTGTGTGTGTGTGAGGCAGGAGACTAACTAAGGACTTGATTAGTGATCGGAGGCAGGTGTGTGAACAGGTGAAGGGCGTTAGATGTGGGAGTGGCTGAGGAACGTATGGAGCCTAACTGTGAAACATAACACTTCATACAATCTAAAATACATATAACATGTTTAAGTGTTTGTTAGGGTACACTTATGATCTGTTGTTTTGAAAATCTACGCTACTACTATGATATTTGATAGTTTTGAAGACCTGGAGCCTTCCTATTCAATTCTTATAGAATCTCGATTGTTCCTTCGCTAGCAATTACGTTTCTTCCAAAGTTGAGTTACAGTTTGTCCGTATTCCTCATTTAATTCCTGGAGGACTGTAGACCGAAGTCCTGTCCTCAGTTCTTGTTTTGGTGCATTTGGGGATTTTGGCAGTTAACCTTCAACAGTTTGCGGTTCGGCCTAAAGCATCTAAAATATACCTCAATAGACCACAAGAGAGGATGTACAGCTTTGGAAAGCCGCTAGCAGACTGTTTACGGTTCCTTCATTTAAAACCGCTGCTGTCAGATTCATGTAGTAAAGCAGCAGTGAAGAGCAGTGGCAGAGAATCAGCAAACTCCAACTGCCTAAAGGTTAATATACCCTAAATAAGAATTCTTCTTTGAATGTGTAAAGAAAGCGTTGAAAACTTGAATCGCGAAGTGCCCTTACAAGGCTTTTCGACTGGTGATCTTTCACTCTGATCATTCTGTATTTCTTCAGTTATTGTTCATTTAGGCTCCAGCCTTTTCTATTTTATACAATAAAGTATGTATCCCCCCTCCCAGTGGGCTAATGTGCTCCTTTTCTCATTCGACAACAAGTCTCTTAGTGTCCAAAATCAAGGAAAACGACTCCCTAATTCCAGATAATTAAGCGGAGTCGTTAATCACAGCGGGGTGTGAACCACGTGGCCCTCACCGATGGACCGCCCGCTGCTCCTCGTCCATCTCAAACGGCCCCATCTAGCGGCCCCCATTTATCAAATCATTTCTGCTCTCTTTTTTTGGTCACCGTGAGAAATAAAGTGCCCGCGCGCAGCAGGGACGTCAGTAGCTACTCGCGCGGCACACGCAGCGGCGGGTCGCGCGCGCGCCCGTGGGAGAGAGAGACGGAGCGCTTCCACTCACCGCGGCTGGTGAAAGTTGAGCGCGAGGCGCTGTGGGACCCTGCGGTGCGCATCCTCCGCGGACACTGAGCGTTCGGCCCGCTGAACGAGCGTCAGTTTGCGGTCGCTTCACCGCACGACCGGTTGTCGCTGCGTCGCGCCCCCCCCCCCCGCTGCGCCCACAGACGGACGACGGGACGCACTCCGAGGATCACAGGTGACACGATGCCACGGCTTGCCGCGCCGGCGGAGATGCGGCTTGTTTTGTGTGTGCGTGTTTTGAGTCGGATCGGATCGTTTGTCGAGGGTTTGCGTCAACTTACTTTGCAGAGTGTTCTCCAGGAACTGGCATAATATAATGTATGTAAGGAAGATTTCGCACACTCGCGCCAATAACACCGTGCCTGCGTGGAATCGCCATGGCCAAAGCTCTGATATGCTGATTGGAGAGGGGGGGTTGTTCAAACCTGCTGCAGGCTGTTGCACCTGTGGAGGCTACACGAGCATCTCCGCAAGTGCACTGTTTTGTTATATCTTCATGTAAATGACACCGTGAGGCGCATCACAGGGCTTTTAATGAGTGCACAAATACTCTGCTGCTTACACACTCCAGGATGCAACATGCAGTCCGACGCAGCCTCCCAACACATAATGCAATGCCTGTATCATCTCATACGTTTATAGTGCCCAGCAAAACAAGTGGTTGAACGATGACACAATGTGCCTTTCTGGGAACGCTTGTTTTGTGGTGATTGCTGGTTGTTTTTTTAACGTTACACGATCATTAGGATTTATTCACATTTTTCTTACATTGTCATCATCATCATGATCATCTTGTCTTGTTAATCTAAAAAAAAGAAAGTAAAAGCATCAAGCTTGTGTCTGACATTGCAGTCTTCTGCTGGCACGCTGGCAGGGCTTTGTGTACGAGCAAATTCTCACCTTGTTCCACCGCACATAATCTTAAGATTATATGACAGTTTTGCAAGGGCTTGCCGGTTTTGCATTGCACGTTCAGGCAAACTTACTTTTGATTTGGGTCAGTCGTAAGATTTACAGTCAAGAGGATAAAATTCAATTAGGCAGCCCTGCAGCAATCTTTACTCACTGGCAGATGGCTTAATACTCTTAGATCCTGCCTCAGTTATTGCTCTAATTGGATTTCATCATTTCACACTGTTTATTTGTATAAAAATGAGTTTTTCAAACGTGGCATCATTAATTCAATGCTTTCTCAGCCCTGTCAGATCCGAGCCCACTAGCCACCGCTGTCTAAACGTCTCACATCTCGTCCCCGTTATCTGCATTGTCGTAAATTGAAGTGGACCTCAAAGTAAATTGTTGCATTCCCGATGTGCCATCGACGGCATGTTGAGATGTAGGAACAGTGTAAGGAGGAGGCGAATCTGTAATGTGCAATAAATGAAGTGCACACAGCAGCGAGTGCATATTGTCTCTGTAAGTTAATTCCAGCCCCGAGGACACGAGGAGTCTTTTTCTCAATGACATCCCGTTGGATTTTACAGAGGGACACAGCGGGCGTTTTATTCTCCAAGACGATGTAGATGTCCTGTGGAATCAGAAGTATGTCGTGAGCCTCACCTCACCGTACTCCCTTTCTCTGTCCTCATTATCTGTCACCGTAGGCTTTTCAGTCGGATCAAATGTGCAAATATTTCTTCTAAAGACAAGAAATAAACAAACAAACAGTCAAACACTTCCAAGCTCAGGATGTGGAATATTCCTGGAGATGAGAGCACAGCCTCTGCACATTTCCCCCTATTTATAGCATTGTTGTTTCAGTGGAACAGCTATCAACATCCGTGGAAGAAACCTGTTTGAGGCAGGTCAACCCTAACGCAGCTGAACTGCCACACTGTGAGTTATTGAAGGCTTGCCAACTCAATCTATATGAATAACAGCCTCTTATTAGTCAAGGTAGATCTAAGATTTCACTCCGAGCTCAGGTGGTTGTGTCAAGACTTATGGGCCTTATTCGCTCTGCTGGGTAATGAAAACAATAATAATTTATGAGTCATAAATCAATGCGATGGTGAGCATCATTGAACCGTGAACTAACAGCCAGGTTGAGTCTCTGCTTGCTTGATTAATCATTGTGGCTGCACCTCAGTGGTTAAAGCAGAGCCTGAGATGTAAACAGAACTTTGGCCTTTGAAAGAGGGATTCAAATCTACAGGAACGGTAATAACTGAACCCACTGCTGCTGGCGAACACTAAGGCTAATGCGTTCATTCTCACTAGCAACATTCACAATATCCGTTGAAAGTGGAAATTTCGTCAGCCCTAAAAGCTAATAGGAAATAGCCTGTCGGCATTTAGATTTGCATGTCAATGAGGAAATAGAATAACATAATGGCACTTTATTATTGTGAAATTACCCATTTTCGGCAGGTTAATTAGCGATTCCTGCTGATGCATGGGTGCAATTCAAAGGTAACATCCTCTGTAAATGTGATAATTGCTGTTTGCTGTCAGGTCCTATTCTTATGGTCTCTTCAATTCTTTGACAGCTGATGGGATTACAATTAGGCTGCTAATACACTGCACTGGATTGTGTTCAAGCTTTCATCAGCAAACAGATTTTCATCTGCTCTCGTTGTGACTGGAGTCAATAGTCCTTTTTCCACCACCTTCCCAAATCGTAATTAGGTCTGCTTGTGTTTATGCTGAGTTTGATTTCATTAATAAGAGGTGTAACTTTCCCCATTCATAAGTAATGTCATGGTTTAGCACAACATACTGTACTTTTATTTGTTTGAATACACTAATTCAGTCGGGAGACATTTTTTTAAATATATTTAAATCTCAAGATTCCATATTTCAAAAACACAAATATTGACCATATTTAAAATGTATTTTTGATATATATATATATATATATTTATTTTTTTGTGGCTCAGGTGGGGCCCCATCCCATGCCCCTCTATGGGCCAGCCGCTACTGGGTGTGGCAGTCCAGGGTGGTGCTTTCTCTCATCAAAAAGGGGGACCAGAGAGTGCGTGCCAATTACAGAGGTATCACTCTACTCCGCCTCACTGGTTAAGTGTACTTTAAGGTGCTGGAAAGGAGGGTTTGGCCGGAGAAGCGCAGCAGCGGGGGCGGCACTGCAAGGTTACATGTTACTTTCTGGGGGTCTTCCTGCTGCTTACACAGAGGTTACCGGAGGTTTGAAGTGACAACTCTTACACCCCTATTCTGAGCTCTGGTTGACCGTAGCTGTCTGGCTCACTGGAGGATTAGAAACCGTGCATTTGAACTGGTATGAACTGGTATACCCCTCCACCACTGGACTTGAGCACACATGTTTTAGGACATGAGATATTTCACTTTAGGGAGTTTGGCTCTACCTCTCACACAATGCAGCAAAAGAGCAAAGCTAAGAGGAGGTCTTGTTTTTATTGATTTTATTAAAATGCTTGTTTAACCACAGGAGGCTTTCAGCCTGATTTGTAAAACTGTTTTAGTACATAAAGACATTATAGGCCAGAACAAACCCAGTATTGCACAATTTAAAAGAAGTTAACTGATTATTAATAATTTTTTCTTATACATATACACATGCACATGGTCACATAAATAAATTTGTATATACACATATATTTCCTTCCTTTTAGTTAACAGATAGAGAAACCACATGATTGCTCAGCTCTTTGTGGCTTAGAAAAGAAAGCAGACTATTTCATTATATAGAAGAAGATTTTTATGTAAAAAGGCATCGGGACGTTATGAATCATTTAGTTGCAGATCCAGATAATGTACATACGGTTTGGATTGAGATTTTATGGGATTTAAAATTGAGTAAATATCAAAGAATAGCTGAAGTTGTTTCTTTATTTCTCTCAATGTCAAAAATAACCATCACAAGACCCAAACTAACAATGTGCAGGTCTCCTCCTCAGTAGCCTACTGTTTTGCACTTAACCCAGAAACCTCTTCTTCCTGCAGAAGATGTGAATTTTGAAAATGATCACAGATAGTAGCAGTTTCAACTTCCAGGATGGTTCTGTACAAGCAGCAGGGAACAGTAATTTGGAGCAAAAGTTACCACGTTTTTTGACAAGTAAAGCTAACTCCGATGTTACTGGCTGTTACGCAGATACAACCTTCGTAACAATATTTTATGACACTCATCAAATATTGCAACGACATTTTTATATTGATTTGCTACATTTGTGCTAAGCGCTAAACTAAAGTAAAGCAGCGCACAAGCCAATGGACTATTGAATAAGTTATGGAATAACACATTGGGACCTTCACGCTTGTGGCTCATTGATGTGTTTTCCAACAGCGGCGCTGTATGCTGCCGACTTTGGATACAGTTTAGTTTGGTCTTTCCGTGGTACTTGTTAACAAGAGCTTTTGGCGGCGTAAGCCTTGAAGATACTGAGGGTACATCACCCTGTTGACAACCAGCCTGAGGGCCACCAAGGCCCCTGTCCTGACGGAGGGCGCAGCCGCAGCAAACTGAGTGCGACAGCGAGTAACAGCTGTTAAGGTGGAGAGGGCTGAAAAAAGCCAAATGAGGTCCCTTTGACTAATGAGGCCTGGGCTCTTGTCTCTCTCTCTCGCTATCTACCTGTCTCTCGCTTTCTATCTATCTGTCTCTCTTTCTCTCGGTCTCAGCTGCAGCAGCGTTATCGGTATGCACCTCGTTCTGCTTCCTCTCCGTTCCAAAGCAGCTCCAAGGATTCTGCATCAAACAGCAATTCAGCCAAAACGCCACACAAACAACGCTGGCGTGGCTGCAGTCAAGTTGAGCCCCTTTACCGTAGACTGGGTCAGAATTCATGAATATCAAAATAAATGACTTAAGCCGTTGTAGTTGGAGCTGGATGAAAGGAATGCAGCTGGTTGTCCCTGCACTGTCTCTGCTCCTGTGTATCACCACTTATTTTCTTAGGGTTTTATTTAATGCTTTGTTGCGCACCACCTCCTGCTCCCGGGTCCCAATCGCTCTGTTGGCAATTAAGCATTGTATATTGATTTTGACAAATTGATCAATGGGGTGAACTATTCTTAAAGAAGCGTAGACAGGACTGCAGTTCGCTGTTCAGTCATTCAATACGGAGTAATCTCACCTGTCAAAATGAGCTTCACGTTGACACTGCTGCAGCCCGTTAAACGGAGCTCAGAAATTACACCGAACATTTGGTGAGAAGGAAATTAAGGGAAGTAGGCCACCGAACGAAGCGGAGCATCCTAGCAGGCATTGGAATTTCAAGAGGCTGCATTAAATCAAGTTGAGCGAGTGACAAAAACAAAGAGGTTTTCGAAAATGTGCAGTCTCTGCAACGTCAACTGTTGATGCTTGGATTTAATCTGCTCTGAAAAAGGAAGTGATGTGCTTTTTACTTTTGATCAAAACTTTTAGTTTATGTGAAAACAAACCTGAGAAGGTTTTGATGCACATAAGACACCATGTAAAAGCGCTACAGCACATGAAAATTGGTGTGGCTTCTTCTGCTGGCTATAGTAGACACATGATGATTATGTCCCATTTTTAAATCAATTTCTGCTTCTTTAAAGTTAACTGCAATTCATTTAAAACAAAAAAGGCAGACATTGATCTTGATTTCTTTGTAAGAGCAGGAATTTAAGAGTGTCAGATTCAGCTCCTTCTTTGTCAATTTTCCTCTTACTCGTCACCACTGGGAGGGATTAATGCAGGAAAGTGTTACAGTGAGACACAGTATTGATTTCCTAACACAGCTCTATGAATACTCCCGGCCCTAATGATCCAATTCACTGATCATACAGGCTTGGCGTCACACTCAGCGGGATGCTTGCTTCACACAACGGGGCAGTGCTCAAGAGTCGCTTGAATTTCTTACACTGTTCTCGACTAAATGAAACAAACCTCCTCACCTGGAAGAAAAAAAAATGACAAAATCTTGAGAGCATAACCACAGTTTCATTTTCTCTTTCCAGATGGACTGGCTCACACCTGAGATGTGAAGCGTGTTATGTGAGCCAAGGCGTTTTCCCACCTCGCTGGTGGTGGGGAGAGATGCTGCACTCCGTTGCCATGACAGCAGAAGTTCTCTTTGTTCTGGGGTTTATGATTAGCGGCGCTCGGTGCAACCCTATAGCGACCTTACCGGCCAGCCGAGAACGTCTGGAATGGGTGTTGACCCAAGTCAGGGAGGATAAACATCGGGACCCAGATGAGCCGCTGGGATACGCCGCTCAAATGAACGCTTTGGGCCCCAACAGGACCGCTGTGAGCGGGGGCAAGACGAACCTCAGCTCCCTCACACAAGAACCTAGGGGCGGGAAGTCCCAGGAGGTGTGGACCGCACAGGACGGCCAGAACCAAATAGACGAGGGCCCCACCAGTGACGTCACCCTCTCCCTCGACGCCATTGACGAGTACGCCTACCCAGACTACAGGGGGAAAGGCTGCATGGATGAGAGCGGCTTCGTGTTCGCCATCGGCGAGCAGTTCACCCCGGGCCCTTCGACGTGCCCGTGCCTCTGCACAGACGAGGGCCCTCTGTGCACCGAGCAGGAATGTCCCAAGATTCACCCTCGCTGCATTAAAGTGGACAGTAGCCAATGCTGCCCGGTCTGCAGGGAGAAAAAGAACTACTGCGAGTTCCGCGGAAAGGTCTACGCCTCGCTGCAGGAGTTTAAGGTGAGCTTATTAACCGCATTCAGTCATTTTTTTGTTGTTTTCAAACTTGAAAGAATTGCTGACGGAACACTCCTCACTGCTCATTTGAGTTTATCACCGGCACTACGCAGAACCGGGGTACCTTGCCTCACAGCCTGCAAGCGAACAGGCAAGCAGATTTATAATGGCAAAGGTCAGCACTTGTCTTTTTTTTTTCCTTTTGCACAATGCCTGAATATTATCGGAATGTACCGATGCCTGCCTTCGGCCGAGTGTTTCCATATTCAGTGTGTTCATATACACAATAGAGTTCCAGTTATGGTAATATTACGTATATGGGTGAAGAGACATGCAGACGTGCCGGCAAAATGTTTTATCTTCTGACGCCCCTTTGAAAGACTTGCCTCAGGATTCAGACGTCAGCCTTTGTGGCGTGCAGTGGGGGGGGGTGGTGCTATGAAACTAAGCAACAGGCGGGTTTTTATGCTTGATTGCTAAGTTCTTGGGCATTGAGTGCCGCTTCGCTCCATTTTTCACACTGGAGTGCGGTGCGGAGGCGTGAGCCTCTGCAATCTACAGCAACGCCGGCAGAATTAACCTTTGCTCTCTTGTCAGGAATTAAAGGTGTATGGCTTTGTACAAGCGGCTGCTAAACGAAGCTTTTCTCGGGGTGTTTAGGGGCCTGGATGACATTCAAGCTGTATACTATCGGTCCTCGCTTTTGCCCCACATTTGTTCTATTTCCAGAGCTGCAGGAAAACCGGATCGGATAACCCATCATTTCTAATGTTTCTGTTCAAGCACCAAGAAAATGGGAAGGATCTCTCTCTCTTTTCCCTTTGCTATTAATCGCTCCACATCCGCTGATTGGAAAACCGCGCTTCAATTCTTGACTTCGCTCACTTTAAAATGAGGCATTCATTGGCAGTCAAGTTAAGAATGATGGGACTTCCCTTTAGATGTGGCGTTGTGACATTGTGACACACTCGATTACACGGTAGGAGCCAGACAGGCAGGAGCATTTGTGTGAGACTGTGTGTGCAAGTAAGTGCTGTTTATTATGCGTGTGTGTGTGTGTGTGTGTGTCAGAGGGACAAAGCAGTGGAAATAGAGAGATAGACAATGAGACAAACAAGAGCCCAGCACAAAGACATTGAGTCACTAATGGAGAGGCGTAGTCTTTGTTGCCCATGTGTATCAGTGTGTGAACTGTTTATTAGGGTTTTAATTATTTCTTTTCTGATATCCAGGTGTCTCCGTGTGAGAAGTGCCGCTGTGAGCCGAGCGGGGAGGTGCTGTGCTCCGTGGCGGCCTGTCCTCAGACCGAGTGCGTGGACCCGGAGTACGAGCCGGATCAGTGCTGTCCCATCTGCAAGACTGGTGAGTGGAGAGGGGGCTGTTTCTTTTTGGGCTACACTTTGTTCCCTCACAAGCAGTCTGCTGGCGGTGGCTGCTGAGTGTCAAATGCTTCTTGCTCAAAGGCACCTCAACGGGAAACGGGAGGGTGGGGTACCGCAATGCTCTGATGAGGCGAAGCCCGCCGCTTGCTGCAGTTTGCAGTGCTGAGATGTTATTGAAAGAGAAGTCAGGATAATCCGTTTTTTGTGTTTTGCTCTTTAGGTTACGTGTCATTATTGCACAGGTTGTCTGATGGAAGCTTCAGCTTATATTCCAAACGTACTGCCTGGAGATTTGAGGTGCGCTCGCGTTGTCTTCCGCTGCGAGCTGCCTGAGGTTTATGATCCCGTTGGTTTCTGAGCTTCGGCCGCCGGAGAAGAAGAAGGACTTCCACGGCTCACAGTCGATTATCTGAAGTTGTTTCGAATGATTCCAGACAGCATGTCCTAGATTATGTCCCCTTGTTTTCTTGGTGTGACTCTAATGCAACATGGCAATGCCAGCAACATTGCTTCCTTCAGCAAAAAGAATGATGACTTGCGATATGCATCTCTGACTTCGGAATCTTGAAGTGGCGCAGGCTGGCTGCATGTGCGATTAGAGGGAAGCTGCAACGTGCGTTCCACATAAAAATGTTTTGTTTGTATAACCCGCTTATTAGACGACACTACTGCTAATAACATTTTGTAAGAATGCCGGCAAGTCACTTTCCATTTCCATGCTGTGAGTTGGAACTGAGCATGTAACATTAAATTACACTTACAAAATAAACAGAGTGTGCGAGCGGATCCACAAAAACAACGTTCCTCCTCAAAAGACACAAACAAATACATCAAATACATAATCTAATTTGATCAAATAAACAGAAGGTCTTAGTCAGCATACAGCACCTACTCAATTCATTATAGTTACATCCAGCATATCGCATAAATGTAATTCATCACGAAACATTGTAAACATTCAAAAATCTGTCTCAACCTCAAGCGACAATGAGTGGAAAACATTTGTAGTCGCGGAGCGTTACTCACTCTATTAATATTTTAATATATGTTGGTCCTCGGTTCCCTTGTTGTTGTTTTTTGCTGTTCACCCACTTTTTAAAAAAAATGCACATATTGATCGTGCTGAAAGTGCTTTGTGCAGAGTTTGGGCAGCGCTCCACCCACCCATCAAAATTCCCAGTGGATATTTCGGGTTCCTTTTACAGGCCCCTCGTCTAGCAGAGCGATGCAGAGCGATGCAGGGACGGTGCAGTATGTGCATAGACGTGGCGGCCTGCAGAAGAGCGTGCAGTCCCTCCAAATCCACAGGCCCATTCAGCCAATAAGGATTTTCAGTTTTAAGATGGCATCACTCCCTAAACATTACCATAAGATCACCACGTTTTACTATTCAATAAACAGAGCCTACAACGTTATTTGACCAAAACTAACACAGTTGAATTCTGAATAACAAATAGTCGCTAACACATTGAAGTTGAAACCAGGTTGCTCATCATGACGAGTGCTGCGCCTGTGAAAAACAGATGCATTGATGATTTTGTGTCTCAATAGGAGCTTTTAAACTCACACGGTGAATTGAGCATTTGTAGTTTGAAATATGGGGCCTTGAGTCAGACAGAGAGTGTTTAATACGGTTGTGAAGTGGGGATGATTTAACAGGACGAGTTAAATCGAGACGTCTCCTTCATTTTGAATGATTTGATCTTTGTTACAAAGTACATTACAATATAGTCTTGCCCCAGGACCTTTGGCCCCCGTTGCTATGGAGAATAGACCAGGAAGAAGCTTTGTGAACGAATTTGTTAAAAAAACACACAGTTGCTGAATTAATTACATTAATTTTAACATCTGATTATCTTAATGGAATTCATTTAAGCTCCTGATTAGATGTGGACTATATATCCATATAATATCCATATAATATCATGGCATGAGACAAGATTTTATCTTTGTTTGGATATTGTTATATTGTAATACGACAAAAGTGATATAATGTTCTAAACTTACCAGACTGATTTTCTCTCATTTTCCTTTACCTGCTAATCAGTGGCGGAGAATGTTCCAGGTAGTGCAATTAAATCAATTTCAGTAAACATCCCAGGTTGACTAATGCAAAACAATTAAGGTGTCAAAGCACATTCTTACTTTAGAGTTAAATGCTTCTTCCAACAGGAAATAGAACACAGTAGATAACACTTGGACAATTTTATTTTTTGTCATCCTCACAGGGAAATCAGTATAATATCACATCACATGTCATTTAGCTGACGCTTTCATCCAAAGCGACTTACAATAAGTGCATTTCAACCATAGGGATACAAACTCAGAAGAGCAGGAAACAAGAAAGGGCAATTTCATCAAATGAGCCAATTTACAACTTGTTATAAATAAGTGCTGTTATAAGTGCAAGTCTGAAGAGGTGTGTCTCTAGTTTAATATATATCAAATAATGAGTATGACATAATATTTACTGTAAATATGTCAGTTGCCTCGTCTGCTTGAATGTGGAGTTTGCATATTCTCGTTTTCGGGTGGCTTTCATTTGGGTAATATTGTCTAGAAAAAAATGACACTCGATGAAAAACACTGTTAGTCATATTATTCCCTGACACACACACACACACACACACACACACACACACACCTGTATGGCACTTTGCTGAAATTAGAATTCTGGTCCCACATCGTCATGCAAACTCTCAGCTCGGTCTCACGCGCTCTGGAAATAATCTACAGCTATTTACGAAGATGCAATAATAACCTTTGGCAGCATTCACGCCCGTTTGTGCGGCAGTCGGCCTTCAGTGCTTTTAAAGCAGCAGGTGAGATTTGTCTGTTTAAACATATTTTCAAGGTCGCGCCACGTGTTTGGGATAGCTGTGAACCTCAGAGGAGGTGATAATTAAACCAAGTTGGGTATCGTTGCAGCAGAATGTGTTAAACAAACGCTCATTAGTTAGGGAATATTTCTGGCTCTGGCTTGATGACCGAGGCCAATGGAGGTGTAAACAGGGAGTGTGAATCAACACACATCGCTGTGAGTGACTGTGCACAGGGTGCTGGGCAGCTGGAGTAAACGGATGTCTGTCAGGCAGCGATCCATCGAAGACCTGTCGCTTCGCAGACTTAATTGCCAAATGCTTTCATTTGCGAGCACTTCATTTCACAGTTGGGTTGACAATTTAAACATAACAAACAACATGATAAAATGAACTACATGGAGGATAACTTATAGAATAATTGGAAGACAGAGAAGTAAACAAAACATAAATCACAAATCCCCCCCCTTTCAGCTCAAATCGATATCATGAGGATCACACATCGGATTTCACTTTGTCTTTTATTTATGGAGCTTATTTGAGAGGTATAACAGGACTCCTTCATTCAAATGATGAGCGCCATTGGTTGTCGACTCGCATCTTACCGCCGTGGATCATGCAGCACTGAATACTGGACGTGATGAAATACTGACGATGTAAAATAAGGTAATTGGAGGCCGTCAGAGAGCTCCCGCTCAGGTGGTGTTGTTTGTGTTGTCCGCAGATGTTGCTTGCAGTGTAGACAGATGTTGAGACCTCCCCAGCGCATTCCGATGTGTCGCATCAAAGCCCCGCTCATTACTGGTAACGAATTAGGTACTAATCCAGATGCAGAGGTGTCAAAAGTATTCACATTCATTACTCAAGTAGAAGTACAGATACTAGGGTTTAAAAAGACTCCTGTAGAAGTTGAAGTATCAGTCAAAGTTAAAGTATAAAAGTACTGGTTTCAAAACTACTTAAAGTGTAAAAGTAAAAGTAATGTAAGGAAAAAATTCCAGTAAGAACAAACTCTTAATGTGTAACCTCGCTCACCGAACATGTCAGTCCGTTACAATATTAATCAGAATCAGAAGGTGCCTTCAGATCACGTGACCTGCCGGCAATATTCAGAGAGGCGACGCAGAAACAACAGAGGGACAAATGCATCTATATAACTTAAACAGATAAAACCAGAACCCATTTTACAGAGAGGCTGAACGACATGAGTCGGAGGACGTACACACGCGTGCACCCCTGTTTATAATGATGGGAAACACTGAACTGCGGCCGGTTATCAAAACATTGGTCAAATCACCCGTTTTTTCAGACTTAATGAGCAAATACAGAATCCCTCTGTGTTCATTTCTAAAGCCGCATTCAGACACACATCACTTTATTTAATACGCTGCACTCCCTCCAAGTCGCTGTCTTGTGCCAGACTCTCAATAAAGTTAGAAAAAAACATTTACGACAAACCCATGGTCAAGAAGGTACTCACTCAACGTTACATGGAATCTGCGTGAGGAAGAGGAGAAAACCAATAGGGTGTGAGGATGGTAAATGTTTATACTTCTCATCCAACCACAATCACATTCACTCGATCCGGATGGCGCGATTTACTGTATCTGGGTAGGTTTTTTGTGTGTGCTATTTTTAAAATCTAAGGAGTAGAAAGTACAGATATTTGCGTGAAAATGCGTGAAAAGAGTAGAAGTAAAAAGTCGTCTGAAAAATAAATACTCAAATAGTAAAGTATAGATACCCCACATTTCTACTTAAGTACAGTAACAAAGTATTTGTAAAACCAAAGACATCAGATCGGATCAGAAGAAGTGAATTAGATTTGGTTCCTCATTCAACATGTCACCCCGTGACCGTTTTCCTCATTATTGATATAAATCACAATGAGGTATTTTCAATGTTTGATTAGTCTGGCAAATATGCGCCAGCATTATCGTGGCCTTTTCAGGCATGCAAAATCGATGGTTATGGCAGGGCGCCCTGTCTCAGATGTGTCATTCAGCCTGTATGCGAGGAGACACTTGGGAAAGAGCCAGGGGAGTAAGATGAAAGTGAGAGGTATCGCTAACATCCACCCCAGACAGTTGTTCATGAATATCAAAGAACAGCTGTGAATGGAGGCAGGTTGCCATCGTTTTTTACTCGTTATCTAAAAGCACTGGAACACATTGCAATTAAATTGTTTCATACTCCTTAAAGTTTCTGTCACTCGCTCGCCGCCGTAAGTTTAATCAAGTGATGCTGATTCATCCAAAGAACTCTCATAAATGTCAAAAGACGGAAGCATGCTCTCTAAATGTCAGTATTTTTTATTTCTAACATGCGTCATGTAATGTGTTAAAATGTTTTTTTGTAATATCTGAGCCGAGCGTTGCTTTTGAAGAATGCTGATCAGGAAATGAAATCTGCGTCGCTGTGGCAATTTGCTCTTGCAAGACAACGCCTTGGCAGGGCGCGAGGAAAAGAGTGGGGCTCTTCAAGACCCCTCGGACATTAGGGTCAACACTAATCTGTGATAAACAGCCTGAACCCAGGCGCAAATCACTTCAAATAGAGCAACGCGAAGACACGGTGGTTGCCAAGAGCGATAGAGACTCATTTAAATGAAGTGACTCACAGAGCGCCTTTAAAGATGGAAGACATGGGGGGAGATAAAATGATTATTTGAAAATGGGTCTTTTGCTGATTTAAAGCAGCTTCCATCTCAGCCTGACAGCCCAGAAGAGGCTTCTTTCTAATGACAAGTTGCTAAAACCTGCTTTCCCCTTCCCAAGGCTGCCAAGCTTTCCGTTCACACACAGCATAAAGTTTACAATGATAACACAATGGTGATAATGATTACAGCAAGGTTTATTTATTATCAAATTCCCAGTCATTTTTTAATTAATTCATCTTCGAGACACACAAAAGTAAATAAGCGCATGCTTCTTATAATTATAAGTCAATGACCGTGGATCTTGTCGGTGCAAATTAAATGTCACTAGCAGATTCTTTTGGATGTATTTATCAATGATGCTCATCTTTGGTCTGATTTGCCCAAACGTATTTTTCACAATACAAACATGGAGACTGACAAAGCCAAACAAAAGAGCTTTGAGGTCGACATCAGAGCTTTATAAATACTATATAATAGATCTGTCACATGGACGGCGCTGAGATGGCTGGCGAGAGTGCTTGTGTGCAGCTTGGCTGTTCAACCACAAAGTTTCCCAGTGGGCTCAGATGCTGGAGACGACATATGCAAACAATCGCACGCGGTGGCACTTCATTCAGAGCTGCTGCTTTGATGCTGGGCGGTTCATATTTGAAAGCGCTCTCACACATTTCACAAGGCATCTCCGAAAGGAAATCCATCATGTTCTTATATTATAAGTCGCTCCCACTTTGTAGCCTCACAAAGCAAGGACCCTTTCATGCTGCATTTATAATGCAAATATGCTCAAGAAATGCATTAAGAAGAGTTATTTCTGCTATTCTTCTCTTTCAATCGCCTCATAATGGCACTTAGCAACATTTCAGAAAGCGAAGGCGTGTGATGATCGGGACGTGTCCTCGTCTCCTCGTCCATTATACGGCTCCGCTACGGGAGCCAAGGTGCTAATGGCCGTGGTTTTCACACGCTGCCCATGCCAACTTCTAACGTGTTTTAGCGACAGTTTGAGTCCAACTGCTCATGCACATGCAGAGACAATTTGTCTCCGCATGTTGTTGGAAGGGCTCTTGTGAGGACTGGCGTGGCTACAAAAGCCTCTTTCTGCCACAGACAGCGAGCGGCAGAGAAAGAGTGATGGAGAGACGGGGATATATTATATTAATGAAGCGCTGACAAAAAGGTGGGTGTTGTATGAATGGCAGAATAATAGGGCGAGAGCAATGAGTAAGCATAGTGGCTCCGAATACATGCATTAATTATCGCGAATGAGTGTCATGCTACGGGGAATGATGTGTGTTAATCCCAGGTCCAGGAGGAAGCTCTTTTCATTCGTCTAGTGCATTTCACTCCCTTAGCATTTTCCCCAATGTGTTTTATTTCATTTTGTGACTCTTGTGTTCTAAATGTCGCTAATGATGATGAATCCGTAGCGACAGCAAGCAGAGTTTCTATTCAGATAGGGTGCGTGCGTGTTCATCTGGAGACTTATGAATGTGTTGGGGTTGACATTTTGACAGGCCTCTGCAAACTGTTCGCATTGATTGATGTGCCTGTAGCTCCCTCTGCTTGATGCCGTCCAATAACATGCGGTGGCTGCAGCGGAAAGACCATCTATCAGCATCTTAATTGTACAACAGAGTTGCTCAAGAACGTGCTTTTCTAAGCATATGAGCATTGTTATGCTATAACTGGTGTTGTGGAAGTAATTTCCGCCGTGTTTATATTTTGCTGTGCGCTTTGAGAGATAATGGATGATTTATGATCTCTCTTTTCGCAGCGACTAGTTGAGGACAGAGGAATCGTCACAAGATAAAAAGTCCAGCACACCTCGTTCCAAATAATGCTGCAGGTGGTGCATGAGGACGTCCATGTTGCGATTGTTTGGGCTCCGTCTTTTGTACAAAATGTTCCCTGTGGGGCATTTCAGAACAATATTAAAGCACAATAGTTCTTAATTTCAGTTTTTCTGCAAAAAAAAATGAAAAAAATCCCAGGAGAAGCAGTGGAGCATATGATTATTACAGTCGAATCCTTGAAAATTCAGTGTAATCACCCTAATCCCAGGATGCATCTCTTTCTTGATGGGAACACAGTCTTCCTGCATAAAAATGATCCTCCAAAGAGCCCTGAGTGGTGATCTGAAGGGTATGGTAATGATGGCCAATGACTTTGATAAGCAGATAAGCATGATTGGTGGCGGATTCGAGCAGAAAACACAAGAAAATGTTCTTTAACATTTGTTTAATACTGAATGAAATCAAGTCAGAAATGGCCCCTGACGCCAGGGGAAGTATGTTCTTTTTAAAACTTTTTCCTCTACTCTCACTATTTATGGAAACAATAAATTAATGCTCACACACGCCCATTTCCCACCGAGACGAAATGAAAGGAAGCAAATAAGTGAACTCCTGTCCTACTTCCAACTAACTTGTGTCCCATTGGCCTCCGTTCCAAAATGTATTCTAATATTATAGAAAATAACATTTTCTCTCAAATATTTGCGGGGGAATCAAACTTTCTGTTGGGTTTTTAAGTCCTGGATATTTATAAACATATATTTAAATAAATGTGTTCTGATAAAATGTTAATAAAACATCATGTAATTACTTAAAAATGATCCATCTATTCAAAATTACTCTATTATTCATTTTTCGCATATTTTAAGCCTCAATAATTTGGTTATGAAAAGACCCTGGTGCTTGGTGAATGTGAACTAAAACGTGAGACGTGAGTCTGGATCTGCACATATTCTATCCTGATGTGAACAAGGTGTCTTGACAAGAAATGAATGAAGCAAGAGTTGTGTTCCCATGTGTTGGATTTCATATTTGATTTGATTTTATGATCTTGGGATCCTTGGAGCAGCACAAAGGAATGTGACTTTGAGTTGGTTTGTGTCATTGAACTGCATTTTCACACAATGATCAGTGTCCTCGGTGGGTCCAGAAGCAGAAAAATGACACAACCTCCGTCACACAGGTACACCGACATAAAGAGGATCTTTCTGTTTTCCGTATATGTTTGCAACTTTGACCCATAAAACATTTGCAAACAAGGTTTAATTATTTTGACCAGGGCAACGTACACATGGCCTATTAAACCACAGGACCAAAATTATTAACCAACCAGAAGTCAAAGTAGCTTCAGTCTTTAGCGTCTGACCTCAACGATGTGACAACACAAAATAAATGCATTGAAAATATATAAGGGATCATTTGGAAACTTCCTAAAACCTTCATGTGTTCCCTATTCCTTTGTTTCAAGGTCAAAGAGGTTTTTTAAATGTGTTTTGGTTAGATGCCTGAAATAGTCTGTGGTTGACACAAACGTAACAGTTTTTTTTTGACGTTTTTCTCTTTGATGTAACAGTAATTAAAGAGCCGCATCTTAATTCTTTCAAAAGGCTTAATTGCCTAATGTTCCTCTTTACTGCCGATTGATTCTTGCTTTCAAAATCATAAACGTGGTGTTTATCAACATGTCATATATTAATATACATATATATGAATAACATATATATATATATGCTGCAATATATATATATATATATATATATATGCTGCAATAATTCATAGTAAAATGGAAGAATCCCTTTAGCTTCTTGTGGAGTGAAGAAGCGCCACCCAAACGTCATGGATGGGTCTACGAAAATGCATCACCGCTGCACCACTTTATGACAGACCTGTTTTTTTTTGCATGACTCCATACGTGTTTTTCTTGTACCACCTACAGGGCCAAATTGCTACGCGGACACCACAGTAATCCCGGCCGGCCGAGAGGTGAAGATTGATGATTGTACAATCTGCTACTGCACATACGAGGAGGGCACATGGCAGATTGAACATCAGGCCACCTGCAGTAAGAACGAGTGCCAGCGGAGCTAGAGACAGGCACGGCAGAGGGGACATTGGCACGAGACACCAGCGCCAGTCGGCTCCGGGACCTCCGGCCTTTCCCGCCGTCTACCGGACGTCGGGGTCGGACGGCAGCCCTCGACAGTTCAGCATTTATAGTCACTCCTGTAGTACCGAGAAAAAGCTTTTATGAAAGTTTATAATCCACACAAAGAATATCTATTTATCTATGTATTTAATTATTTATTAATATCCACAAATATTGGAGTCATCAATGCTGAAGTAGTGAACAACTATTTTTTATAGCCTCTGCATTTTATTAAGCAATGTATTGGACCAGAGGTCAATAAACAGAATGTATAGAACACACACAGCTGTCTTTGGAGGTGAAAACCTCACTGTCTCGACATGACACCTGCCCCTCTCCCACCCAAGTGCAGACTAGACTATGTGCCATCCATTCGCTGTGGAGGACGAACACGTGCAGAGAGTTAAAATCAGAAGGAATTAGAGAGGACTTTTGACTGTTTCCTGATTTCTTTTATCTGTTCTGGATGTTCGTAAGTGTTTTGATTTGAAAGTGCTTTTTTGTATATCCCTTGGTGCCGTGTGGTCATGTTTCAAATAAACGTCAATCTGGGCTCTGTAACTGCTCCAATGGGACCTTTCAGCTGGTCTGCTTGTTTTCCACATTTACAAACTTCCAACGGAATCCAATTATATTTGCAGTTCCAGTTTAATCAACAAATTGCATGCAGATGGTGACGGAGAGATCAACCCAATTTTCTGTGTCAGATATGACAGGCAACCTTTTAATGTGCTTTAATGTAAAGCGAGCAGTTTATTTTTTCTTTCAGCTCCACATAAATATGAAATGAGTAATTTGGTTATGCCGTGGTTTAACTTTCAATATCTATAAGCATCACAATATAATCTAAGCGAACACAGTCTCATACGCCTCACTTTAAACTCCATGAGTAAAAAGCCAGACCAGACACTCGGATGTTATTGATCCCAATTTGCTTCCAAAATGTAGAAATGGAAAGGTCACGAGCCGCGCAGCATATTCTCCATGTCTTCATCTTCAATTCGTGGACGGCAGAAATGAATGCATGTACCTGGCGGAGCCACGGGGCCCACCGGCCGGCAAATCAAAACGTAGATTAATAATTTAGTTCAGGTTATGAACACTGAAGGGCGGGCCGTGATAAATCGGCGCAGATGTCGTGTTTCATCTTTTGCATTTGCCGCACGCCGCTCTCTCCGTGTCGCCCTTTGCTATTTGCCAGCCGCTCCGCAAAAGTCTTTTGATCGAGGGGGTTGCCAGACGACCATGTTGCATCTCCAGCGGCGAGACGTGTCCGTCCGCCAGCAGGCTGGATCGAGCTAAATAAGCCTAAATGCACGTTCATGCTACGTAACATGCTTCCCTGTCAGAGCAGCAGGGGAGCGGCGGCGCAGATCTATCAAGGTTCTCGGGACAGCTTAAGTCCTCGCTTTCTGCCACTGTAAAGCTCCTCAGACCAAAATCATTCATTCTAGGAAAACGGGGCTCGTGCTCGGGCATACAAGTGGCAAATATAAAGTGCTCAGTTTTAATGTTCCTGCCCTCAATCTCTTTCTATTCAATGGAAATTCTGCAGTATTGTGCCTATTCTTCTCATAGACAATGTCCCCTTATGTCTTACTGCTCAAAGCTGCCGACCTGCTGTGTCTCAGCCAGTTGACGGACCAGGGACGTTGTCCATCGTCCTTATCCGCTCTATCCAGGTCATTCACATTCACATCAGTTCATATTCCAGCAGTTATTTAACATGAATTCTGAGTATAACTGAATAGAAGAAAGTGGTGATTTAAAGTCTTTAGAGTCTACTCATCACAAACGAGGCTGGGTCTTTTACTTTGAGATAATATTCCCAGAGTGGTACGGATCTAAACTCCTTCAAAGACAGGCCATTAATTGGAAACATCTGTTGGAGGAGCCCATCAGAGATTAGCTTGCTCTCCCCAATGGCGCAACCTCATAATTAGGCTCCTGCCCAGTCCTGAACAATGCCCACTGCTCCAAGATGAAAGATGAGCTCATAATATGTGTGCTCATAATACAGTAGGTGATGAAATGTATTATTCATCTCCAGCAATCGGCCAGCTCGGTAATTTGAAATTAGAGCATCATCGATTTTGAGAAGCACAAAACTCTTGCCTACAAAAGAGAGCTGACAGTTTCATCAGCACACGGCTTACTCAATTAGTACCTCACTAATATAGAGGCGCTGAGGCCCACGTTCTCCAGAGTAACTTGAAAGACGATTGTGAAATGTTGTAACCTCAATGACAGATGGAACAGTGGAGATCGTGAGGGTCAGACAACATCATGGAAAGGACTTAACTCATCCTTCCAGATGTCATTTTAACCCTTACAAAAAAGATGTGGTCTGTACATGGAGATTCTGTAGGTCAAAACATTTCCCGCTTCACTCAGCCGATTTAAAAAAAAACAAGATAAAGGTCCGTCCACATTAAAGTGAATTGAATTACAGGAAGGCCAGCTAGTAAACTATAAAACAGTAGGCAATGTTCAAGGGGATAAAAGACCAAAGTATTCACTTCAGGCAGGATTAAAATCCCTGACCATCTTCTCTGGGGAAATTACTCCGGTAGAATTTATTTTTTTATTGAGAAAAGGCAATACTGAAATGTTTTCTATAAAAGCTTTATTAACCTATTCAGTTTCCATGGTGTGTTGGCAGTACCATGTTTTCCTTTTTGACCTTATGTCACTCACATTACAAACAATCACAGACAAAAGGATGTGGATGTTTGTTTGTGTTATGCAGTGTCCAATCAGCACTGTCCTTGATTCTGCAAGGTGTTGCTGACAGTAACTTTGAGAATAGACGCAAATGATGATGAGGAATATGTGTTTTTTTCAATTCAATTCAATTAATTTAGTAGCAGAATTATAGCATTAATTCAATGCCTGCCAGTGTTCTTGCCTAAACTCCTCTTTACTGACTTGGATAAGCATATTACAGGCTTCCTATGGGACAATAAGCAACCACGGATAAGTAAAGTGATGGTGCAAAGACATCGATCTCAAGGTGGACTCTCTCTTCCAAATTTCCGATATTATTACTGGGCAGCGCATATACAGAAAATAATATACTGGATCAAGCTTCCTCAAATAAGCTGGTGTCTAAACGAAGCCAGATCTTGCCCATCATCGCCTCTTCTAGCATTGGTAACCTCTGGGCGACCTTTTCTCCCCAAGAAAACGCTCCTCCAACCCGATTGTGACTATGACAATAAGAATTCTGGCACAGTTTCGCCCACATTTTGGTCTCACCGATTTACCCACCATAACCCCTATTCACAACAATCACCTCTTTCCTCCATCAAGATTAGACTGTGCATTCTCACTATGGCTTAAAAATGGCATTTCTAACATTGGTCATTTATACACTGGAGGGGTATTTGGACGCTCCGAGGATATATTCAAGATATATAATATACCCCCCTCCCATTTGTTTCGCTACTTCCAAGTGGAACCCTAGTTTTCCTACTCAACCGCAAGACTCAGTATAGGAGAGAATTCTGAACTTGTGAAATGTAATGCGTTCTGCAATGGAAGTAAAATATTTATATCCCGAATATATCAAATTATCAACTCAATCACTGAAACTAACATTGTCAAAATCAAAGTAGAGTGGGAAAAAGAACTTACCATGAACATGCCTGATTCAGTTTGCAACCAGGCCCTGGCTGGAGTCAATAACAGCACAAAGTACTGCATCGCTTACACTACTCCAACTCTAAACTCTCAAAAATGTACTCTAATGTAAAGGATAGCTGCAATAGATGCCAAAACTCACCATTGATCTTACACACGTGTTCCGGTCCTGCCCTCAAATTTACTGGGTGGCAAAAGTCCTATCAGAGTCCCTTCATCTTAATGTTGAGCCCAGCGCTTTGATGTGCATCTTTGGTGTTCAGGGGAATGAAGACCAAACTTTAACTTTGAAGAAACACAAAACCGTAATTGCTTTCTCAACCCTCTTGGCACGAAGGAGAATCCTATTGGACTGAAAGTCACCGCGCCCTCCCAACTCCTCCTTGTGGCTAAAGGACCCGGTGTTCTTTTTAAAGTTGGAAAAAATCAAGTTCTCTCTGCGGGGACACCCCGAGAAATTCAAATCCACTTGGGGCTCGATCATACAATACTTGCAATGATACAATGAAGACGCTGTCACTTGTCCCACAATGTCGATGTATGATCCACTACTGATTTGTAATAATCATGTAATGCTTTGTCTATACTTTTAGCTACTTACACTGTAATGTGCTTTTTGGCAAATGAGGTGGCGCATTTTGTTCTGTGTGGGCGGGAGGTAGGAATTAAAATGTGTGTGTGTGTATCGTGGCACGTTGTGAAATAGTCATGAAATGTAGCAGTAATTCCAAGTTCCAATGTAATGGAAGTAAAACAAACAGAAGAACTGCGCAGAAGAATTCTTCCATGTGTCCAACAGAAGGGGATGATGGCAGACGGACCACTTCAGGACTGGTAGTGCCGTAAACATGTTGGTAGCTGCTAGGCTTCTTCCACCAACATCTACCCTGCAGAGGACCACCACTGTGTCCCTGAGTGGTGGAGAAAATGTCCTGGCTGAATGTGGGGAGATTGTTGGTTTCAAACACGTCACATGATGGAGAGTTGAGATCAAAGTGCCGGAGGAAGAGTCGCTGCTTCAACATGTTCCACTCGCTGGAATTCTGCCTCCAAGATGATCACATGTGTGTAGTTTTGTGTTTTAAAAAAAGTACAATTAAACAACAGTGTCTGAAATACACAATCTCTAAAGTTATTACTCATTAATTTATAACTTTTAATCAATTGGTTGCGATTCATTGGCAGCCTTACTTCAGATTAAAAATTATATCTACAAGTGCAAAAAGCACAATAATATTACAAGGTGTGTTTTACTCACCATTTCATTTTCAAATTTCAAATTTCATTTTTTATTTCATTTTGTTCTTCACTTAATATTATGATACATTTCATGACACACTTTCTGATTTGAATACGTTTAAATTGATCGCAAATTTGTATACTGTAAGTTTGTTTTAAAGTTGTTCCAAAGTAAAGTATTTACACTTCATATTCACTTAGAATTTGTACAACTTTGTATGTCACATCACTGTGCGTATTTGAATGTTTTAATGCTTGGTTTGTCTTTAAAGTTCAGACTAGAAATTGCATTTGATTGAAGTTTAAGATCAAAACACAGTTTTGAAAGCAGAGTTTAATTGTCATGGTTTCACATATTCTAGCTGAAGCCTGGATCAGTGTCGCTATCCGTCTGCAGTCTCATGAAATGCATTAAACGCTTCGTGGGACAGTGGTGCGTGAGCCCCTGAGCCGGGGAAATGAGCAACGGGTCAAAGTGGAGTTTACCTGCCTGCATCCACAGCTGGCAATGTTAGCAGACTGTGATTAATAAGGTCTTCAGAAAGCAGCTCACGCAGCTTAAATCTCATCTAATTCGCCACAAGGCCGGGAGGAATTCACTTTCTCACTACGCCGTAATGATCCACCTTCATGGGCTTCTCACTTAATGGCGGCGAATAATCATGTAGGACTTTTTCTACACAAGTATCATCAAACAGGACGAGAGGGATGACAGCTGAAGGTTATGAATATTTAATGACACATTTGAAGCATTTATTTCAATTTCAGAGGGGCCGCTGAGCTTTTAAGCAGGAACACTTTAAATAAAAGAAGCCTTGTTATCTGTAAGTGCATTTAGGCTTTCTGCGTAATATTGGTTTGTTATCCGCAGCATGGTTCATTAGCAGATTTGCAATTCTTCTGTAAGAGAGCTGGGCCCCTTTGAATTTCTGCTACAACACTATATACAGTACATTCTAGCCCTCGTGTTCTGGTCTTTATTCGTCCAAATGCTACTGTTTTCAACATTAACTTCGCCGGACAGCTGCTAAATGCTGGTTAAATGCTTTCAGGATTCTATTTGTTCCTTCTGAAAGGCTTTCTAGGCACATCGCCTCAAATCCATTAGATCCGGCTTTGAATCTTTTGACACTTCTGTGAGTCATCCTTGGAGCCACATGTAACATTCCCATGTGATTACGACGCTCCTTGATCAATCTGAGTGAATTGCTTCATGATTGAGCACCCAGGTCTCCAGAGTCTCGGGCCTGAAATTGTCCTTTATAGATCTGGTATTATATCTCCAGCACTCCTCCTTTGCCATTAGCCAGACATTCACACTCTACAATTCAACTCTCTGCCTTGTGCTTGCCTCCAGATGAGGGTGACACTGTTGCGATGTTGAATTGTCTCCCCCATTCATATATCTGGGGAGCACGTCTCACAAAGCGGCCGATATGCTTGGATTACCGAGTTTTAGAAGGACAGGATACGGAAGGGAAACACCTCGTTTGCCTTCGTCTTAGCCATAAGATTCAATCTAACTGAGAAAGCAAATCCCCTATTTTCTGTAAATGACACGGGTGGGATAGGTGACTAGATGTTCAATCTGGCCCTATCCATCACAAGCTGTTAGAGGCCAGGTGAGTCATACTGTTTAGAGCATCATGGAGGACAGCGTTTCAGCATTTTATCCACAACAGACAGCCGATACCAATGTGACCTGCTTGCTGAACACTTTTTAAGGAGGGCTCAATTCAGCAGAGCGCTGCTGAGCCACGCACATCTGCATAAGTTGCTGTCAGACGGGAGATAGAATTGTGGATTGTTAGGTTATCATAAAGGGAGCAGCTTTTGTGTCGGCCTTGTGGAATACCAAGTGTTTGAATACGCAACACAACATTCGTTGGGGGTGTTCTCTTTGTTTTCCTTTTCTTGCAGCCCTCGTATGGTAATTCATCATGCATTCCTCACACATACTGTGAGAATGCCCAGTGGATGTATTGGCCACTGGCTAACGCACTGCTGTAGATTCCCATGGGATGTTTGTTTGGTAAAACTATAGGGAAGACCAACCGCAATGCAAGGATGCAAGCAGAATATGTTTTCTTGCTTTTTACCCTCCAAAAGAACATAAAAGGAAATGGAGGCTGGAGGTGTGGGCGACCACTCTGTGGTTTCTTACTGGGGTTTAGCCTCAGAAACAGGTAATTTCCCTTCAGTTAGAGGGAATGGAAACAGCCTGGGAGGGTAGCACACTATAGCGGTTTAATAATGGAAGGCAAGGTCTCGGGGGACAAGTCCATCTCTCCGAGAAACAGAGAAAGTCCATTACACTCAGTGTTTCTTTGCCTAATGCAATGTCTTATTTGTAATCGGAACTCACAGGTGTGTTGATCAAACAGCTCATAGCCGAAGAAAAAAACTTAAACGATCCAGAAATGATCTAAGACAATGATGGACAACATTTTTGACTCCACGTCAACCCAAACTTCATCGGAACAGAATTCATTTGCCCCATTTTGCCTCATGGGTCTATTTTCTAGATTGGTTTGATGAAGGGGTACAATCTGGACCATTATACCCTATAATTAGATATCATCTATCTGAGTATTAAATTATTTATCCATCACATTCAGCTATTCCAACTGATTTCCATTTTTGATGAGATGCACTTTAAACTTTTCACAAACCTCCTGAAACTGCAGAACTACCCCTGGTTGGGAGTCACTGATTTATTACACCATTATAGGCAGCAGTGTCATCATGTGTCTTCATGCATGTTAAAACAGGTCATGAAATAGTAAAAGAAATGCTAAACCGTGACTTGCTTTTCTTTTGAACAGTGCATGTGTTCATTTGCCTTTATCTTTGGAATCATTAGTTCTGCCTTTCACACTTAATAGTCCTCCGTTTGTGGAAGCTCATGGGTGTGCTTCTTTGTAATCTCATTAATTACTATAATGATGTGCGACCTGAATGGGTGACTCGCTTTACAGTGAGAGCCCCCCCCCGTCTCCCCCCCCACCGGTTATCTGGTACTTTTGTGTTGCCCGTCTTGTTAGCAAAGAAGACATAGACCGTTATCCCAACTCCCTCAGGACTTACAGCTGCTTGTTTATCTGCTGTTGTCAACATATTCATCAGGGAAAGTGACATTTCATTATGCTGACTCTCCCCTGGGGAAAGTTAACATTAAACATCGTGCTCATGCAGCATCATGATAGCCCGGGGGGTTGCATGGGGGGTGCATGGGAGGCGGGGGGTGAGAACTTCCATATTAAAAGCATTATAAGGAGCAGAGTTTTCACTCCCACCACCCTCATGAAAAATGTACAGCGGCATATTCATTACTTCATTGAGCTAAGTGAGTGTGACAAGCGGAGAGCTGCAGCAACCGAGGGCATGGAAGCAGCACTACAAAGGAGCCTTCGGCCGCTCTCTGAGGACATGGCCATTCCCGCCACTCGCGGGGGCTTCGTCTTTGCACTCTGTTTGTATTCATACAAACGGTCGAGGGTGCCGCGCACAGAATGCAAGAGACAGAGTTCACTGAGGCCAATTTGTCCTCTAATCTAACGCGTGCTTAGTCATTGGGGCGCTGATCAATTCACTGCCTTTTCAGTGTGACGAATGTGACCCATGAGCTATGACTTTAGACCCTTACGCTGTAAATGTGATCATCCATTTGCATCGGTTTACGAGACATATGGATATAATCCTAGAAGAACATAGATTCTTTTTTTGTGAACCGGATTAGAGGCCATATCATGCTTACAAAGGGACAGATTCATATGTGTGTGACCTTTATGAGATCTCCAAAGATATCCGAAGACGCCTAATGCATCAAAGCTATTTACCAAAATGGCATGAACAATTGCAAACAATTATATCTGTCATCTGTAATTTCTTAAAGTGCTGATTGCAATGAAGTATTCCGTCCACATTTGTCCTCTGTACTCTTAGACGATCCCCTCCCCGCGCCCCGTGGTCGTGACTCGCCCCCGGGCCTGCCCGTCTGTTCCCTCGGTGTCATCTCAGGTCACCTTCAACCCTCTGATTACCAAAAAAAAAATAGTAATTCAGCCACAACACTACAGGTGTGACTTTACTTTGATGACCCCTCTGCAGCAACAACATGCCTCTTTCTGCAGAGCAACAGTTTCCCCCAGATGGACAAACAAATGAATGGCTGCTGCACTGTAGCACGGCCCCTATCACCATGGGCAAAATGTGGGATGTGGGATTTAAATCATTTCTGAGACCGTGGAGGAGTCTAGAGAATGGAAGAGAAGCTGACTAATAACACGGGATCCAGTAACACGGGCGGCTCCGATGGTAATGACTCCTCACTCCGGAAATACCTCATTCCCTGCAAAAAAATGCAGTCATCCGAGGCTGGTATTCAAATTCAAAACTACACACAAAAAAATAAGAAAAACACTTGAAATAATTGGTACACAAAGCATTGCATATATGTTATGTTGTGTTGTGAGGAATTAACCGATATCCGAATAATGAATTGTCTCCAAAAGCAATAAATCTTTTGAACCCCTGCACCTATTTATTAACCTTATTTGTGAGAAATGTGTGAATGTAAAATGTGCTCGGACCTCATTAGACATAAGATTGATGCAAATGGTTTGCTTTGTTTTTCTCCATTTTATCTGGAGCGCTCACATAAGATCTCACAAGTGTCATTCGTGCTTCTCCATTTGTGGAGGAATATTGTGTGAGAGTCGGGCATATTCACCACACAGTTATCAGAATAACTCTAATTAGGCTATTTTTAACACATCCTTTTAAACTGCTCTTGGGTGTTTACATTTGCTAATGACAGCCTGAGCAAAAATCATCTATCAGCAAGCATCATCGTCATCGCCACTGACACGTTAACATGGATCCTCTCCCAAGGAAAACGCCACCTTCCCATGCTGCTTCCCGTAGTTATGTAAAAGCACGCACACGCATGTGCATCTAAACAGTACATTTATGTGAAATGTTTACATTTGCACATTGCACTACAGACAACCCAAGCAAAATAATTAATAGGCACCGAAGCATTTTTGCTCCAGTAAATACAAGACAGCTCTTTCAAGCCAGTGCATTCGCCAGATTACACCGGTTGTAAAAACTACTTTACATTTCTGTCATTTATATTTCAATTTAGTTTACCGTCAACTTGAAAAAACAGTCGAATAACTCCACTCCCGGTTGTTGTTTAGTCGGCAAGCAAAGAACATGAATCACTTCAATATTTTTTTAGGGACATCAAATTTGCCTGAGGTATTCAGCATTGGCTTTATGGTGACCTTGTTATGCTACCATGGTATTTTTAATCTTGTAAGTTATCATCATAATATTGCAACGGGGACTTTTGCGGTGATATTTGTGGAGGGTCATTTAATTCATGGAGGGGGAGCATTCACAGGGCTGTTTTTAGCGTCTAATAACACAGGCTCTGTGGCTCCATCTCGTGGTCTTTCGGAGGAAAAGCAGATAACTGCCACCTTTTATAGCAACGGTTGTTTGCTTCTTTCAGAAAATAAACCATTCACAGCGCATCACGGGATGTAATGTAGTATTCTCTCGGGAGGCTCAGTCTGGTAAACACTGAGGGGGGGGGCCGAGCCGTCTCATTATTGTTTGCCCCCATCGGTGTGCAGTGAGGTTTTAACGACTGACAAAAACATTTTTCTTTGGTCAGTGTGATAAACTGTTGTAAATTGCCTGATCCAGCAGCTTCCAGGTTACATTATTTGTCATGAAGGTTCCCTCTGAATTATTATGACTGTGGCATCTAGAATAGATAGAGTGGACTGTTTATTAGATCCTTGTTCTCCATCATTATAACAAATACAGATTAACAGCTCACGCATGCATGTTGTGCCAAGGTTTGTGGAGCTACACACCTCCAAGGCCAGCAGGTCATGTTGCTTCTCTGCATGTCAGTAATTTGATAAGAGCAGTCTCCGGGCAACCAGTGCTTACTGCTTCATTATACCTGACGGGACATCTATGACGTGCTCTTTCAAACGCACACATAAGACACACACACACACTCTGCTGTGTTGAGCTTCTGCCCTGGCAATGATGGCAACTCTTTTGGATCCCCACAAGCACTTCTCTGCAGAGCAGCATGCCATCAGACGGCTGGACGCTGGACCGGAAACTGGTGTTGCCGACCAGCCTTTCGCTCCATGTCACCCCCGTGCTGAGCGCGTCAACCCGGCTCCTTCACGAGACGACGTCCCACTGCTGGATCCTTGCTGCGGTCACCTGAGCGCTGGAGCCGAGGTGTACCTGGGGGTCAGGGCTCGACCCAGATTCATAGATGTTCCGCATGTGGCCTCTGCCCTGTGGGTTCCTCCGGGTTTCAAGGAGACGCCACTCGCGGCTGCAAACCCCTCTGGGATCTGCGCCGACCTGAGGGAAGACAAGGCCTGGAACTCCAGGGGGATCCCTGATGCAGTGTTGAGAGCAAGACTCAGTGGTAAAATGAGATTGTGTCTATATTTGATTCAAATAACACTCTGTATGCATTGCAGCAGTGGTCTCTGCTGTAGAGTGGTCAAAGGAGCCTAATGCTGCAACTGAAAATACACAAGAGCAATTAGTTCTCCAGCTTGTAAAGATTTCCTGCTTTCCATAGACATATAAAATAGTATCAGAGATTAAGACAATACAGTTTGAGTCGGCCACCTTGGGCTCCCCGGAGACATTTTCACTGTTTGACGGAACGAAAGAAGAATCAAGGAAGGAATTTAACAAAATGTTCCGTATTATCTCATTTGATTGCTTTAATCTATTGTGTAGTAATGACAAACAAAAGGGTAAAGTAAACACACAGCACATGGTCATATCAAAGAAATAGAAAGGGAGTTACTTAACTCTACCATTACTGCCATGATGTCTGAAAACAGAACAAAATGAATAATGAAAATCGGTAGTGGCACCAATAATAATAATACTTTGAACATTGGGTGACTGGACTTGTTATATTCAAAATGGAAACATCCATCTCAGCTTGTTCTTCTGAGAAGATAAGCCAATCTCTTGCAAAGAGGATTTTGGGAACACAGGGATGTGACCCCGTAATGGGTGATGAGAGTGGTAGTTGGTTTTTCTTAGTTCTAGCAAAAATAACACCTGTATTACAATGTAAACATAGACATAAGTCATTTGTATTCTAATGTGTTTGCTGTTGCCGATAGTTACTCTAAGGCCTCATACACAAGTCACAGAGTGGAACAAGAAGCGCCAACATGCATCGTGTATTTCTGGCCTTCAGAGCAGTTTCTGCTGGTTCCCAAGTTGGCCTGTGGGCTGGACACTTAACTGTTGTTGTTTCATCCTAAGGTTCGACTGATCCTGTTCCATCACACTCACACGCAATGTCGCTTAACGGATTCCCCTTTAAACACGCGGGAACTCAGGTGGGTGATGATTGAATTGGAATTTGCTTTGCATAACAGCATGTGTTTACTACATGGACATGCAACCCATGCTTATTATAATCGTACTTATTTGTTCCAGCTTCTGAGCACGTAAACACATAATTCATACATTCCATTGACTGCATTGTTGCGGAAAATGTTCCCGAACTAATGCTGGCTTAATTTCTGCAAAACAATTGTTATTATTTAATTTCATCAGATGACTCGTCAAAAAATCCCTTTTGTCATCACAACACTGAAATATTAAGTATGTTTGAGTCCCACCACACATGATAAGCATCACATTAGATCACATTAGATCACGTTGACGTGTATTATTATGGTTTGTAGAAGCTCTGCAGTACTGAGCTGCAGTGACGAGTTTATAGTGCTGTCTGGTGAATGGAGGCTTGATTAATGTGTGTTGTTAAGACAATTCAGACGTGGGGGGAGAGTGTTAAAGAAAGCGCTCCATGTCGATGCTTTAAACACAGGAAATTGTCAGATTGATTCACTCAGATTCAATCAAGAGTCATTGTGGAGTTTTGTCTCACTTTTGTTTTGTAGTCGTTTAGATAAGATCCTGGTGTGCATAACGCTGTAAAAATACTCCCAAATGCTTTACAATGGTGCTACCTTCATTTATTGATTCAAATACCATGTTGTCGTCTTTTCGGTAAACATCTTATTATTTGGATTACCATAAGAGTAATTTGCCCCGCAAAGGGGATCCCATCTTCTTTCATCTAGGACCATCGTCAGGCCAAAAGTCATCATTTTTAATCCAACACATCTGTTGAGGAAAAACCAATGACATTCCTATCTGCACTTTATGTTTGATGCAGATGTGCAAGAGTCAGCATGCTAAAATCCTAAAACAACGTGGTAACTGTAAGCATGCTCAGCATTAGCATATTTGTACAAAAATGAAACCACGTGCAGCATAATAAAACTGATGGAAATTGTTTGTTTTTAAGGATTCCTTCTCTTGTGATACGAGGCCACGGAGAAGCAACTCTCTGGCAGTTCTGCGCTACAGATACACTTCTGCAACACAGAGGTAAGAACACACTGACCTTTATTAGTGTGCTTTGCATAACAGTGAAGCTAAACAAAGCTCACCTCCCACACAAATCATTATGCACAGTCCACGCACACTGTCATTTTGCTTTGAGGATTATCGAGAGTGAGTAGGTTTGATGCTCCGGTCGTTTTATTCAGGGAGCAGTGTGTCCTCTTTGTGTGTAAATTCTGAATTCATGTAGCTGGTTTATGGCCGTGCTCAAAGCTTCTGGGAAGACGTGGCTCCCAGAAGCTTGTATACTTTCTGCAACAAAGGGGGCCGTTTAAGAATTACAAACTGCTGCTAATAACTTTTGGGAATCAAGTTAATCAATTTCCCTGGAGGCACTCGGCTCTGATGTTAACCGGTCGCTGTTTGTCTGCAGGGGTTATGAGGAAGTTTGTTGGGATTCAAAATTACCTCCGCGCTTGAAGGCACCAGACAGCACCCTTGAGAAATTGACCGACCCAGTGAGTGAGCTGACCTCATGGAGGCGCTGCGGGGGTCGACCTCGGCGGGGGCCGGTGAGCCATGGACAGCAAACGGTGACAAACTCTGCCCAGGCTGCAGCTCGGTGCTTTTCTTTCTCTGCAGCTGTGGGATTTCAGAGGTTTAAACTCAATCACAAGCGAAAGAAGGAAATTCTCCGCAGTAGTGGAACTGCTGTGCTGGAGTTATTAGGCAGTGGGTGGTTTTCAAGAAAAAATCAATTTAATTGTGTTATCTGAATATAATTAAGGTTAGATTAAAAAAAGGAATTGCTGTTTTCTTCTATAATTAAAATTAAATATTTGATGCGAGTGAAAGGTATAAAAGAGACATTCCATTATGTTTGAAATGAGTTCCAGCTCATCTTGTATTATTTGTGCTGCGCATCAATATGCCTCTTGTGCCTTTATGGTCTGCAATTCTAATCATATACACCTACGGGTCGAATTCACGGAATTTGTTGTTTCAGGGTGGTAGTTGAATTCCCATCACGCCGTTCTCCTCACTCAGGGGCCTCCCTCACCACGGCAACACTGCTGTAGGATCAATGTCAGGCGGCTGGGGGCACCGAGGCTCTGCTCTCTGCGGGTCGTGTTACTGCACTTACCACAGTTTCACAAGCGTCTGGAGAGCTGTTGTTCAAGTAATGTTCAAATGCGAAAGGTCTCTCTGGAGCCATTGTTTGGTTGGTCCTCTCTGGGCTACAGAAACATGGCGGACTACATGAAGATGACCAATTAACTTTGTAGAAATGAATGGAACTTTATATTTACACACACATATATATATTATTCCATTTCTTCCAGTAAATCCCCTGAAATGAAAACACACTGGCTCTTTTAAAAAATTCAGCACATGCTCAGGTTTAACCTGACCCACAATTAAAACAGCATAAAAATTGTAGCAAGCAGTATAAGTCTTTTACTATTTTACGTTTTTCCTACTGCCAACAATATGTTGCAACTGCTCTCAGCGAGCTGCTTTCATGGAACTGCTGTTTCATGTTGCTCGGGTCGTCTTTTCTGACAATCATCAGAGCTGCTGTAGCTGCTTTCAGTAGCAGCCCTGAGTGCATTGGCTAATTATTTTTCATACACTTGGATTTCGTTATTTCATGCGTTTCAACTTCTTCGTGACAGCCACAAAGGAACCACGCTGGGGCGTTCGGCCCTCTAAACTGGGACACAACACAGCCCTCTGTCTGTGTTGTGTGCGTATGTTTGAGTTTCTTTCTCACTGCATTGGCCCAGTTTACGTCGCACCCCTCCGGATAACTACTAATAAATACTTGCAAAGCACGCACTCGGACCTCGCTGTAGCTTATTTCTCGGCGCCACAGGCTTCCATAGATCAGAAACTGTTAAAACACTTCAATGAGCCGAGCTGTTGAGTGAAATGCTCTTTCATAACTACGACCATATTATAGTTACCGACAGTGAAATGCTCTTTCACAACTAAGAGCATTTCACCGTTGGTAATTCTGACTCCATCCCCCGCACACCGTCCTCCGGCTGTTACTCTTCAAACAGAGTGAAAACGTGTATTAATCAGCGACTGAAAGCAGTCCCCTACGAAATGCCTTATCAGAATCAGAAGCCGTTTATTACCACGTATATTACAGGTACTGGAATTTGTTGTGGTGATTGGTTCTTCCAGTCGGAGTTGGGTACGTGCGGCTGGGAGAGAGTTTGTCCTGCAGTATAGAGACGGGATAATTGTGTTGAATGCAGAGCTGAAGTCCACAAACAGGATCCTGGTGTAGGTTTCTGGGGAGTCCAGATGCTGGAGGAGGAAGTGGAGGGCCATGTCGACAGACCTGTTGGTTCTGTAGGCGAACTGCAGGGGGCCCTTGTCCCTTAAACTCCCGATGGCTGAGGTCTCCTTTCTTAAAGTCCCGGAGGACAATGATTGAACAGTGTCCACTGTGCGTTGGCATGTGGAGGCATGAAAACACCAACCAGTGTGAATGAAGCGAACTCACGGGGGGAGTAGAAGGGTTCATAATAATAATAATAATAAAGATGATATTTAGATAGATTTCAGATGCGGAGAAAAGTTTTGTTGTATCATTTATTTATTTGACCTTTATTTTACCGGGTAAAGTCAATTGAGAACCAATTCTCTTTTACAATGATGACCTGGCCAAAGGCAGCAGCACAGTGACACAGGTGACACAAACTGTCACGGTGTGGTTTTATTTCCTGTCTTATTTTGTAGTTTTCTGCCTCTCGTGTCCCCGGGTAACTTCACTTCCTGCCTTGTCCTGTCATCCCCTGTCATTGTCTGATTGTTTCCACCTGTGTCCAATCACCTCCCTAGTGTATTTAAGCAGTGTGTCTCTTGTCACTTGTCGCGTCATTGTCTTTGGTCCTGGATGTTCCTCGTTCACACATGAAAACAACATAGTTAAGTTAATAAACAATATGTACAAAAGAAGGCAGATTACTGTAATTCTCTGTAAAAATGGAAGATAGAGAGAGAGAAGTGAAGTACAGCAGTCAGCTGTGGCTTGTTGCAGCTTTCGTTCGAACATGTTGAGAGGGGCTGTTAGTTTGAGCGAGTTCCAATCATTTGCAGCGGCAAAATGAAAGGAGTTTTCACCAAACACAGTGCGGACTTCTGGAATACTGAGCCGAATGAAGTCACTGGATCTTAAATAGCGATAGCTGTCGGAAATGTGCAGAAGATTTGAGAGGTAGCGAGGTGTCGTTCCCAAAATGGATTTGTAGCCCACGAGCAGCCAATCCACCAGTCTGTAAGGATCACAGTGGTGGGTGGTGAAGGGTGCACTTGTGGAAAATCACAGATTGCTGAGTGGTGGAGTGTGTCCAGTTTTCTGAGCGTGGTCTTTGATGCCATTTAATAAATGATAGTGAAATGGAGGATGAGGGTGAATTTGGCAGAGTATGTGAGGAAGGCCTTGTTTTGATACAGGAAATCCAGTCTGGCTTTGACTTTAGCCAGAAGGATTTTGATGTGTATGTTAAATGAGATGGATGAAAACAACGTTTGCGGAGACGCACATGTGCGCCGGCTCGTTTCCCCATCCGGCACTTACCTGCGTGCGTAAAGGTGAGCGCACCTTACCCCAAAATGTCCAGTGATTCCGACTAGTCCGTAGAAAAGTCGAAAGGAAGTCCGCGGGAGATGTTTCCCGTCTGATAAAGAGTTTCTTTTTCTGGTGTGAGAGCTCCGGGAATCGTAGCAGAACACAGAGTTTAAAACAAAAATAACTCAAAAAAATGCACACCAACGCACCGAGGCATTCATCCGCAGCGCCATGTTGTTCTCTAATGTTTTTACAATCAAATGGTAGATGATTAGTTTAGGAAATCACAAATGAAACAACATACTTGTGACTTTATAATACATATTCTAAAGTGTTACATTCAATAGGAATAATGGGATGAGAGCCATAAATCGAGCAGTGCAGTACAGTTAGACACATTGTTGCTTTTACCAATCTATACCATGACCATACTCTTCCTTCAACCTCTCCAAATCTGTGAGGTAATCATTTACCGATGATAGAATCCTGCACGCAGCCTTTTATCAACCTTAACATTGACATAGTATGTGTGTGTGTGTGTGTGCGTGTTTTCACTGTGAAGTGCATTCCGCTAAAATATCTGCCGTTACGTTCTTCTCCAAGTCGACGGGATCTGAGTGGAGCGGCCAGCAGCTTCGATCGAGGACTGATGCCAGGACGCCCGTATCACTGTAAGTCTAAAGAGCACTAAATAAAGATGACCACTGGCAACAGCTCTCTGTCATCTTTTTAGCTGCAGTGAATGTCGAAGGTCGAAGGTCAGGTCAAATGCTGCAAATACCGTATTTACACTCTTTAGTTCACAACTTTAATTCACGGTGTCTCTCTCTCCCCTCCTGCCGTGCACATGTTTTCCTGTGTGTGCAGCTCTGAGGACGTGCAGAACATCGACAACACGGATGCACACTTTCACCCGTTGACCCTAAAGAGGACCATCGTGCCCCCTAACGTGCCTGCAGCGCGGTAAGACACACAAACACTTTCAATGAGGATCTCAAGGATCTATTTTGCACACGTATTTTTTTATTATTACATCCTGGGTGACTCAAGAAGAATGTTGATTCTCCTGTGAGTATCAGATTGTGATGAATAACGTGTGAACTTGTTGTGGCAGGCGAACCCCCGTTCCTGGATATACAGGCAAGGCTGCTCACGCTAACTCTGCTGCTGAGGCTGCAGTCTCTGTCCCCGCTGTCTCCAGTCCTGCAGGCTCCTCCGGGTGAGTCCCAGTCTTCGCAGTAACTTTTAAGAGCAGAATAAACCAATGCCTGATAAGGACTCTGAGCAAACACTACTTTATTCATTGCTAGCACTAGTTAATCGTGTATGTCATCATCTTGCATTTTTTAATATATTATTATCTATCCTCTGTTACACATTGAGACTTTCTTCTCCCAGCTCGACTCAGTAAACATTAGTTTTATCACGTTGGACACGACTGCTCACAAATGTCCACTGGAGGGCGTTCTAATCCTGTCCACTGACGCCACGCAGCAGGTTACAGTCTTACTTAAACATACAGATATGCTCATATGTTACTGCTATTCATTTATGAATGAACCACAGCTTAGATTGATCCTCATTAATAAAAAGACTGCAGCAGGTATTTTTAGGTGTTTTGTATTTCATTTAAAAGGCCTATTAGTTGGTACAAGACGACTAAAACCTTCTTTACAATTAATGCAATCCTTAAGTCTTAAGCCTGAGGCCCAAATACCGAAACCAATCCAGTCAAATAAAAACAACGTTCTTTTTAAGATAAATAAATAATTGAAATACTTAAAGTTTTATTTGCAAATGGGCATGCAAGATGAATAAAAAAAGGTTAATTCAATGAATATATAATAAATAATTAATTATCTGGAAATTGGAAGTCTTGGAAAACTGGGGCAAAAATGACATGGAGTTTAATTTGAGGGCAAAATAACATTCTTGTGCAGAGGAGACTTTACAGCAGAGTTCCAATTGTCTTCAATGGCATCAAGAGCGATGGAAAATCTCTCCTCCAGAAAATGCCAAAAAGAGAGTGGCAGCGTAACAGTGACAAGTCAATCACATGAATAATAATGTAAGTACTTTTAACACGCCTCACTGTGTAGAGCAAACATCCCTCCACTCTGGGAGTGCTGTCTGCTAAGGAGGCGTAAACCTGTTTCCTTGTTGGGCCCCAGTTGAGCGAACTTTACCGGCTTTTGGAGCCGGCATCTCCAGATGGCTGGATCCAGGGCAGCTCGTGGTAATCGTGGTTTTTCACAACCTAGATCCATTTTCCTGGTGCCCGACAGCCCCTGAGATCTGTTTCCTCTGCTGATTAGGCTGGCCTCCCATATTTTTTCCCCAAAACAAAACAAAAAAAGACAAGCACTTGATTAACTGCCTGCAGCAACGGTCAGACGACCTCCGGTCAGACGACCTCCTTTGACACAGGTGCCTATGTGTATTATTATTGTTATTATTATCAGCCTCTTGCAGTCTCAGTTATATGCTGTTTCATTTTTACTTTACTAGAATAAAAACGATTTTGCTCACTCTAAATTTGGATATCTTGACAGTCCCGCCTTTGGACGTGCGGCGCCCTTGTCTCGAATGGTGACCACCGTGACCCCCTGCAACCCTTTCCTGAGACCCGCACTTCCTGTCACACGGGAGCAGGCGAGGGGACAGCAGACAAAGCAGAGGAGAAAGTTTTGAAGGTGCCAGCTTCCCTTTTTATGCCATCCAATCTGTTTGTATGAATACGCTTATAATGATGTGATGTCAGCGGCTGATTCGCAGTGAGTTGGAGAATAATGAGATGCCCCATTATCATAATTTCCCTGATTTAGATGAGTGGTTTTCTAACTCCGGGTAGTGAGCTCTCACATTGTCCTCTTAAACATTTGCTCTCTCACTGACTCGCTCACTAACTCATTGTGTGTGTGTGTGTGTGTGTGTGTGTGTGTGTGTGTGTGTGTGTGTGTGTGTGTGTGTGTGTGTGTGTGTGTTTATATCAACCCAGACACTTTGTGTTGCATGAAGGGAAATGAGAGGGACCAAACAGAAAATATTGAGGAAAGTAAGGATTTTATGCACTAATGTTATATATTTATGAACAGCATATTTAAAAAAAACACTGACAGGTATAAGAGGTCCATTATAAGTCCCGTTTTGGTATCAACCAAAGCTGATTTGGTCTGAAAGTATGTATTAAATACAGTCTGCAGTTCACATCATTTGAGCTGTTGGTTTTTCTCACGATGGGACTCCCATGTAAATGCAATAGCTTCATGTCTGTGGTTTGTGCAGCTTTACGCTTCGGCAGGAAATCGGGATGAGCAGGTTATCCTGTTTCTCTTCATCTATATTTTGTTTAGATTTACATCGCACGAGTTTGGTGATATTGTCAGGGGTTAAGATTGTGTGATCACCGATGCTTTGCGTTTCAAATCCACACTTAAATGATTTTATATTTCTTCAATGATTAAGTATTTCACATCCATTCAGGTCTGGGGAGCCACAAGAGACAGAATAAAATAAAAGGTAAAAGCAGCAGAGGTTGAAATACGCTGAATCTAAATTGTCTTGAGTATGGTCCAGGCTCCAAAAGTTTTAATTCGTACATTCCCCCATAATTAAGCGCTATAGCATATTTTATTAGACATCCCCAGGGTTAATTTTTTGACCAAATAAATCAATTGTTATGCATTGAAAAAATAAATTTCAATTAATACATAACATTGAATGTATAGCTGTGTGTAAAAAGGTGACTTTAAAAATGAAAATTCCGACAAATACCATGAGATAGCAATTTGAATATTGCTTTTAGCAGTTTTTCCTTTGTTAAGATGAATTAACTATCCATCAGCGGCTCGCTGAGTGACGACATGCAGCGGCACTCCTGTGGTTCGGTTCCCCATCTTCCACCTCTGGACAAACCGGTGACTCCCAGGGCAACGTTAAGTATGCATATTAACATACAATAACTTTATATTTAATAAGTTACCGGGAGTCCCATTTCCCCCTTTTAAGCAGCCGCTAACTGCCTCCCGAGCCTCCTGGACCGGGACGTTGCAGAACTAATATCAACCCTCCATCAAAGTCAAAGTAACGGAGCGTCACTGGGTTCAATAACTGTAACGTGGCGACTGGAGTTTTCTAATTGAAAGCCTTTATTGGCTGCAACCCTTTACTGAAAAGGGGGATCACATTATTGTAACACTTTCTAGCAATGTGTTACTGTAAATCATGGATCACTCTTCCTTTTGGCCCGACATGAGGAGACAGCTCAGTTGGTGAGTGACATTTAGTAACCACCGACTAACGTGGTGGACAACCTGGGCTTTGGAAGCCAGCGTTCAGTCACAGCCACTTTGTTATGTGACGAAGAGATGGTTGGTCAACTGGTGGTTTTTTTCCCAGATAGGAACCCATTTGGTAGCACTTAACGTTACAGCTCAGATAATGTGATATTTGGATATATATTTGGTAATAATTATTATAATAATAATGCCATGTAAGTTCCTCACACATAACCAGATAATTACTTTGTATAAACAATGGGCAATATTGGACTGACCTTCATACACAAAGGATAGAAAGGCCAAACACGTTTAAAGATTCCCACAAGGTAAAATTATTATATTTTTGTGACAATAAAGTTAACGCATCAGTTCAAGGTAAGATAGTAATATGGTGAATTAATTGGTTATAATGGCTCTTTATTGAGGTATTCTGCGATGATGTGTTCACAATATTATGTTATAGTCAAATTAATTTTCTAAACGTTCCCTTTTGTTTCAAGGAAATCCTTTGAAAATGTATTTAATGCTCTACCTTGTTACCCGGAAAGAAGCTTTGTCTCTGTGTGATAAAATGTTATGCATTGTTTTACATTTCAAAACTGTTGTTGAATTGTACCTTGGAATTGTCTGTATTTAAAACCAATAAAATGGCGCAAAACTCCTCTATTTGCTAAAAGCGGCCTCCTCCTCCTCCTCCTCAGATCTCCCAGCCTGAGGTCTGCATCTCATCACAGGCTCCTTTTCAGAACACGCTCACAAACATCGTGATTGATTCAGCCGCTATCCTCCAGGATCCCTCAATGCCTGCCTGGGCTGCAGATTAATTTCCTCTTCCTCATCTTAATTTTCACTCATCGCCGCTCCATAAAAAGGCTAAATGTCAAGCCTGCCTGACTCCTTCTAGTCACACGTCTACTCCAGCAGATAATTACCATAAGGAAATAGATGCTTGAGTGTGCAGAGGGGAATTTAATTTACTCTAACATCCTCACTCCTAAAGAAAGAGTTTTTCACTTTGCAATTTACTTATTAGATAAATTGCACTATTTAATGTGATTATCAGTCTTGAACGCCTTTGACTTATTAAGGTGTTGAAACCAATTAAGGGTTACATGCTGCCAGGGCTTCCAGATGTGAAACAGTGAATACTGGTTAAAGATCCATGAAATAAGAACCAGCCGGAGCCTATTGTTCGCTAGTCGAGCGGCTACACTGCCTGATGATGTTTTGAGCCTTGCCAGGTAATGACATTAATTACAGCAACATGGCTTTCCTCAGGTTGTGGATTAACCCGCAGGAGCAGAGGTGTTCGGTTTCATCTGCAGCCGTGGATTACGCCTGGTAAAAAACGTAACAACTTTAGAATTGAGTAATTATACAAAACCTTAAGAATCTTTGCAGAAACATGCATCAACGTGCCGCCCAGACGTCGGGAGGACAGCCGAGAGAGTTCATCCCACCTCTGAGACAACTTCTCTAAAATCTAGAGTGAATGGCTGAACGAGTGAACCCGCTGCGTCACTGGGACGGGACGTAGAGGACCACAGTCATGAGTGGACACCTCTGCGGTGCCGAGGAGCCACTCATACTGACCCGTCGCTTTTTCTCCCCACCGGCCTTGCGGCCTCTGACCCTTTTTCATAGAGAAATGCGGGCGCTGAGGAAGTCGGTGAGCGTTGCCGCAATCCGTAACGCGGCCGTGAAGACACAGCAGGCCACAGTGCTCCTGCCCAAAGTTCCTCCTTTTGCAACCAACTGCCTGAATGTTGTGCTTCTCAGCAGATAAGGGCAACCTCCCGAGAAAGTTGACTCAGCGATCCAGCACACACGGCTCTCTGAGATAAGCTGCTCTGCAGGGACTGTGCACAGTGGGATACCTACGCGAGGGGAAGGTCGGTGTGAGGAGCGCGCGACGCAAGCAGAGAAAACCACGCAAGGCAAATTCAAAGAGTAGAGAACTAGAAATTATTCTGGGAAATTTGAGTGGAAACTGTTGCAACTTCAGCTTGGAGTTAGTTCATCACAGTTCAGTACGGCGATTGCAGAGCCAGAGCGCCGGATATTAGTGTGAGACAATAACCAGTCATTTTAGAGATTTAACTCATTATTTTTTAAAATGTCCATCAATATTAATCAACAATTTATATTTCTTCCAATGATTTCGGGCAGTACATCGGCACCCATCACTCCGTAGCTTCAACTACGTGAGAGATGGACGCTGACATTGTCATCATAAGAAAATTGGATAGATATTAAACATATTTAAAGTGCAGGCCTGATATGTTCATATCAGTGTGAACGATGGCAGAATGGAGGGGGACAAAGTGGTGCAAAGTCTTACAGTGGTGATGGTTTATTCATTTACATTCAACGTTATATCAGTTTCAAGTTTTTTTTTTTGCTTTTTGGAATTCGGGTGATTTGCAGCAAAACTTCTCTAAGGTCAAAGGTCTTGGCATGGCTTCGTGCGTCACTACACCTGTGTGTTCATGTTCTACGGGACGGAGACTCAGAGTACGACGTCCATCTCAAAGCAGAGAGTAAAGTGCTGTTAAATATAAAAGATTTAAAAAAAACAATTCTCTTAGGTCTTGACATGTGGACACTTGCTGATATGTGTGGGATAGGGAAGGGGGGGGGAGTAGAAAAGAATGCTTAGCTCTGATGTCACTGTAGAAGAGTACATGAAACAATGAGAATATAGTAAACGATAAAGTCACATTCATTTCATGGGCCGCCAGAACAGGTGACAGAAGGGGAGCTGTCCAATATGCAAGTAAGGAGAGACCCCCCCACCCACCCCCCTCCTCCCTGCAGCCCTCAGCTTCCTCGGTGAGAATGAAATAAATAAACAATGAATGGTCCACTCTCCTCGCGCGCCTCATCCCATCTCATGCATGGCTGCCAGTAATGGTCTACTGGGTGTCAGCTTTTATTGGCACGGCACAAAGCGAGCGCCAAGGGCTCGGTGCCTCGACTCCCCGCTGCAGACTCGGCCCGCGGATAAAAGCGAGCAAAATGCCCCAGCCGAGCTCAGAGACTTAGTGATGTTGGGCTGGAACGAGGAAGTGCAGTGGAGAGGGGAGGGACTCCGGGCGCAGCTCCATGGGGCCGCTGCGGCGCTGCGACCTTCTGCACATGGAGCCGGGGAGAGTTGGAAGAACTTCATACTGCAAACTCAAGGAATAGCAGGTAAAGTGACTCCCCACCGCGCCGTTCGCACCCGCGCCGTCCCCGAAGGGCTCGAACCGACACCTCTGAAACTAAAGCCGCGTCTGCTCGAGAGTTCTGGGAAGCGTTCGAGCACCTGACGGGAGGGAGAAAAGAGAAGAAAAGACCGGTCCTTGTAGTTCGGGTGCAGGTGCGCCGCAGCATCAGATCCCGCTTGGTGCGCCTTTTTCTCCGCCGCTGCAGAACATGCGACGGATTAACAAAGCGGAGGGAAAATAGAGATATTTAGCGTCATTTGTTACCAAATAGTCAGCTATCTAACGGAAGTAGTGGAATGTTCCCCTTTTTTTCCCTGTCTCGTTTTCTTTTGGGAACACATGGATAAATTGTTTCACAATCCTTTAGATTTATTTAAAAACATTTAATGTCATTTCTAAGATTCCTTGGTAATAATCGGGGCGTTTGGCTCTAATTTGAAGCACTTTCATAGCTTTGTTACACTCTTGTTACAGCACCTGTTGCAACAGATGTGCGCGCTCAGTAAACTTCTCCGAAGGCCGGCTGCTCTGCAGTTTGAACAAATATTAAAATACACATTTTCAGAAATTAGAAACGACAACTTTTGATTAAAAACGCAGTTTTTGTCCGTGGCCAAAAACCCAAAGCGTGTGTGAAAACACTTGCGCGCTGGTTAAACAGGAAATCACTTCACTCGGTCGGCCGCTTGATAAATTATTAATCGATCATTTGTTTTAAATGTTTTCTCATACCGGTACCGCATACCGCTTTGCGTTCACCTGTCGACCCACACTGGCGGTCAGAAGCTACGCGTTTGTGTGCCGGGTAGAAAAAAAGCCCCCACATGTAGGCAGGACCGAAGAAACATTTTACACTGCGGTGGAAAGTAGATCAACGCCCAGACAGAAAGACAGCGAGTCAAACTGTTGAGGAAATAAAGTGTTCCGTGATCTTATGATCAACTTAAAAAGTTTCTTTTTTTAAGTTCTTGCTTGTCGAAGTTCAGCACCTGCATAAAAAAGACAAATACTATATTATATAATATTGGCATCACATTTAAGAATAAATGTAACTATTCGTAATTGTATCCAGTGATTAGTTAGTTATTGGGTTTCCATTAATAATAATAATAATTTTTTAATACATTTTATTTGTACAGCCCTTTAAAGGGTACTCAAGGTGCTTTTTATGATAATACAATAAACAATGGGAGCATTATATGCATAAACAAGAGCAATGACATAACAGCAATAAACTAAACAGAAAACAGTTAACTCATCACAGATTAAAGCAGATTTAAATGAGTTTTAAGAGCTGGTGCCATTAGGATTTTTTCCCCGGGCTTAAACTGCAGGAGAGCATCGTTGTTTATTCATATTACGGTTTCTTTATTTTAAGCAAACAAATTTTACTTCCAAGTAAAATGTCCTTTTTCAATGAGTTTGACACATTTAAAGGGAAGTTCAAGTCACTCAAACGCCAGTTTGCATCTCCAACACAAACTGACACTTAAGGGTATTAGAAATAAGATAAGTTTGATTCAGCAAACTCCCCGGTACCTGCACAGACTTTTTTCATAACGCGGTTGGAAAGAGAAGTGCTGCAAAATCTGTCTGCAGTCGGATCATCTATCTTGTCAGTAGAAACAAAAGTAGGAGGGAGGGGTGGGGGGGGTGAGCGGAGGAAGGCAGACGGTTATTAAAATGATTGTACTGTCTGAATAGCAGAGTAGTGAAGTGTGTCAGATGCAAATGAAGGAAACTTCTCTTCAGCGCCCCTTCGCTCTCCCCTCACCCCCTCGACGGGCTCCCAAGAACACATCCGCTAACACCACCGCGCCCGTACAGCCCATGAATTACTGATGAGAGGCCCTGTGTGCATGTGGACGAAGGTGGACGATGGTGGACGAAGGTGGCCGCGCACCACACTGCTCGGCACAGAGGGATCGTCTCCAATCCTGAGGGATGATAAGAAAGCTCATACAAAATGATTTGTTGAGACGTTTTTCATTAATCTGTTCAGTCTGTTTAGTGACTTTCTGAAGTGGAAACCTTTAGTGACGTGTGTGGGGGATCACGATGCTGACTGTTTGTGTAATCGGAGCGTTGATGTCTAATGAATCTGTCATAAGCGGGACATCAAGAAGATATTTAACATGAACCTGCTGTGCTATAAATCACACTTTTATTTTTAAACGTCTAACCAGGTGATATATTTCTAAAACTAATGGGGCCATTATGTTGGAATACAGTTTAATATGTATTTCTGGATTATTATTAAAGCACTTCTGACACACAAGTCACTGACAAACACTGAGAAACACTTTTCTCCTTTTCTGTACTTGTGTGTTGTTTCATGTTTTCCAGTATTTACTACGTGAGCTAATTGAAACACACACACACACACACACACACACACACACACACACACACACACACACACCAGTGCCTTAAGCTTCCTCCTGGGTATCCAAACTTTGCTGGTGTGGTCCTCAGTATCTGTTAACGGTTTTGTTGTTTCTCATCTCCACCCTGCTCCCTGGTGTCGCCTTTGCACCTCACTATGAGCAGACGCCTCTAACCCCCCCACCCCCCCTCCCCTCCACCAAACACACACACACACACACGCACACACACACGCGCGCGCGCACACACACACAGGAGGAGGACCGAGAATTCTGTGAACCCACAAGCCTCTTCCTGCCTCTCCACACTTGACATACACTCAGACCTAAACTTTTCCAGTCCCCCTGCGCTATGCGTCAAAAGTTCTCTGTGACTTTACCGGCTTTACCACCTGCCCCCAGTTTACACACACACACACGCACACACACACACACACACACCTCATCGACCAGGACATAATCAAAAAGACGGGACAATCGTCTTCTTAATTTCTTTTTTAAATAAAGGAGAAAATGGATGACTTTGGCCAAAGGAAGTAAAGGAACTGTATCTGAATCACAACTAATAACTTTACGTGTTTGGATTAGTAGAAATAAAAAAAAAAAATGTTAGTAAAGAGAATACCCACTACTATCCAAACTAACTACTTCCTGAATATTCTTTGTGCACCTTACTTTCCAAATGCCCACGCAACTGGGTTGTGGCTGATTGTAGGAACTCTCTTTTTTAAGGCCCCCCCCCCCCGCCAACACATCCGTGTTTCCCCTCGCACCATCTGCCCAGAAAAAAAAAGAGATGGCACACGAGAACGTACCCGCCCTCCGCCTCCGACCTCCAAACTCCAGATGCTGAGGAAGGCTCGGCGCAGTAACACGCAACACCCCGGTGTTGTGCTCAACAAATCTTCTGCACCAGTGACCTTTGCCCCCTCCGCCCCCCCCTCGCCCTTGCGTCCTGGGCGTCTGCATGCCGCGGAGCTCCTGACACGACTCCGCACAATGTTGTTGCGTTGCGACAGAGCGGCCCGGTCGCTTCCCACTGTTTGTTCCAAATGTGTGGAGCCATCTGTCAGTAAAACAGGAAGGCCTAGGTTCCCCTTCTCCCTTGGGCTTGTTTCGCTATTTTCGGGAGCTTCACTTCTCCCTGAGAGGCTGCTTGGACCGGGCGGGCGGCCCCACCGAGGGCTTCTTGAAGTGGCGGAGCTGGGGCCGGGGCTGTCGGGCCCATCTGCTGCAGACTTGAGGGCCATCCATTATTAATGGGGCCACGAGCACGGGTGACTCCTCAGATATTCAGCTCTGGCCGGAGCATCGCTTCTTAAACAAAAAAAAAAAAAAAAGAAAGAATTCATAAATACAGAGAACTTCTCCTTCCTTCGGCCTGTTTTTCTCTCTCTTTTCTTTTCTCCATTTCGTTCCCTCTCCTGACTTCTTGCCCTCCCATTGCTGTCGACATCTCCGCCTCGATATCTGTCTCGCTTTTCTTCTGTCCCCCTCCCCTCTCCATTACTCTGCCTCTCTGCTCTCCCCGCTCTTTGTTTCTGATTGTGGCTCGCATGCGTCTGTGCCCGGGCCCCCGGGCTCAGCGATGCATGCTCAGTAAATTAGAGAGAACACGAGTGCCGATCAGCTGGGAACGGAAGACACCCGCATCCCCGTGACCCGGGGGGCCAGTTAATTTTCTGCTTAATTTTGCGGCAGTCACTTTGCATTTTTGGATGATTGCGTGGCAGGAAATTAACAATAAATAACAAATGTGGTCCGAAACGGCGTTCCCGGGCGACCCGCCGTTACCGGCGGGACCCGTCAGCCGCAGCCAAGCCGCTCTGAGCGCGGTCTCTCTGTCAGACTCGTAATGAAAACGTCTGTGATTCTTTGTAGTGTAACGTGGGGGACAGCGCTGCGTCTGCAGAGTGATCTCGCTGAGGTGACGGAGTCACACCGAAAAGTTCACCCTTTACTCCACTCGGGCTTTTTATAATGTTCTTTCCTCCGCCTGCACTTGATTAAACTCACACGCATCTCCATCTCCATCTCTCTCCCATTAGAGTACCTGCACCGCATGGAGACAGAGGAGGCCCAGGAAATGGCCCCGATGGCAGGTAAAAGACGACCCACCGCATGATTGACCTGTAAATAGGTACAATAGGCCTCCTGAATGAGACGCGGCGAGGGGCGGCGTGGTGACTGACGCGTGTTTGCTGGTGTGTGTGTGTGTGTGTGTGTGTGTCTCCCCAGGCCGGGTGAGCCCCCGCCGATCGACACGTCCGAGGAGGCGGAGGAGCCCATGGCCGTCCCCGAGGACCTGTCAGCCGGCTCCACCCACCAGCACAACAACAGAGGGGACAAAGGTACGCGGCTGCATCTCGCCAAAACGCACCCACAGCCGCCCAGGACACCACTGATGCTTATGCAAATCACGGATGAAGCGACCCGAAGGCGCGATTGCGACGGTAAATCGAGTGTATCCGTGGAGCAGCGATCAGAACGGGCGCAGCCCAGTGCAGGGCGTCTCCCAGCAGCGATGCGCTCGCCCCCGAGGCGTCCAAATTAGTGTACAACAGTTAAATGAAAGTAATGTCAGTATCAAAAGCATAACATAATCATTCATAAAAAAATACTTAATGTCATGCACATCCAGTGGGAGACATTTGCCGTTTCAAATCCCTTGGAAAAATTTAGTTAAAGCTGCAAAAAGACACATTTAGGTCATTGGCAGAAAAGGTAAAAAGAAAAAAAAAAGAAAATCCCTTTGATCCATGACACGCCATAAATAAGCCAAATCTTAAGGAATAGCTAATGTGGCCTTGATTTGAGTTTGTGCACATCAAGCCAGGGAATATCATGGTGAGAATAAGGAGCAAGCATGCTGGGGGGATTCATGTTGGGGCAGCGTATATTTATCTCAAGTCTCCTAATATGGATGGTCTGTGGAAAAAAAAAACCTTGGTCTTTAAAAGCTAATCGGTTTGACATGACAGCAAGATGAATCAGACATAAAACTTTTCATGATATCATACAGATTTAATATGTTCACCGAATGTCCAAAATGGTTTAGGGAACGTCACCGCACTCAGATGATGGGAATTCCCATGAGAGGCAGCGCCATTTATTTGTTTTGATTATTAATTCTCCACCTATCACATAGAAAGGAGATATGGGAGATATAAAAATGCAACGACGTGGACACTTTGAGATGTGAAACGTGCACAAAGAGGTGCAACTCGGCTCAACTGAAATAGGATGTGCAAGAGTTTCCAAAGAAGAACTTGCCATCAGGCAGTTTCAACACTCCTGGAGATAAAGAGTTCAGGAAGAGGGCCAAGCTCAGAGAGATCAGTGCATCACTACACCACATAGGTCACACACCTGCACACGCACGCACACACACACACACACACACACTTACTCACAAAGGCTCTCTGTTTGACTTTACTGTTGAGCTTAGAGGTTGTGATCAAGTGCTGCGATGGCAACAACCAACACGTGTTAACACGAGGTGTGGGAGGTTCTGCAGAGCCGTGTTTTACGCGACTGTCAGGAGACTGATGGACATTTAGTACAATCGGATGGAAAAAAAGGAAATAGTCAGAGTGCCTGATTTAAATGTCTAACGGTAAGGAGAGTGACAAGGACACAGCTGGCTGTGGCGTGTATGAACGTATGTTCTACGTGTTCATTCCCTATAAGAGTGCTATCACTTTGCATGTGTGTGTGTGTGTGTGTGTGTCTATATAGGGTCAGTGAGAAAGAAGGGAAGTGCAAGTATCTGGTACATCTATGCATGGCTGCCTCTGTGATAAAAGGCAGAATGAGTTATAATTATCACCCAGGATCATGTGCTGCTCGGTTCTCTGTTGTAAAAAAGGCACAAAGAAGGGGGACTATATGTGGGACACGGACCTCAAAGTATCGAAAGCTCAAAACCTCAAAACCCGGGTTGTTTCCTGTGCAAATAAGTATTCACAGCCCAGGATCACTGTCGCATTTACAACGCTGCAGATCCTCTTCCCACATCCGAGTGTTTATTCAAACTCAATTAATTCAATTCTTTTTGTGTTGCTTTCATTTAAAATTTGAATTGGACACATTGGGTTGAAGTCACAAGGCGTCAGGATGAGTCGCTCGACATCCCAGTGAAACGATCTTTCTTTCACTTTCGGTGATTCAGACAGTAGCCGGGTGCTATTTCAGAGACATGCGAGAAAGAGAGAGAGAGAGAGAGACTGAGCCGTCTAGTTCCCGAAAACGTGGAGGCGAACATAGCGTGAGGGGAAAAGCAGGCAAGTTTTGGCGTTGCGAGTGTTACCAGCAGTGGTTTAACACATATGGTTCCACTCCTTTGCACGCTGGGTTTTTTTCAGGCGGTGAGAGCAGCAAGTCGGTAACAGGAAGCTCCAGCACGTTCCCTGTGTTTCAACGACTAACACGCAGGCCGAATGGCCTCCGATATTCCAATTATTTCTTATTTCTTTTATAGACGTTCACTTTAAGAGCATTGCAATAACTTTTAAATTGTATATCATTATCTATCAGTATTTGTAATAGTTTTATTCCCCCCCCCCCCCCCCCCCCCTTCAGCTGTAACCTGAGGATTAGATCCACATCAGGTTATAACTGTTTTATTGCAACCCTTTGTTGTTTGTCTGACCCTTGCTTCCCAAAACGAGCAAATCAGGATGTGTGACCGTGACAAACAAGATAAAAAAGCAAAAAGCCTTCTTCCTATTCCCAATTCAGTCATAACTTCCCCATATCCATGAGAAGTGGGTGGCAGTCAAGTTTCATGGTTCCCTTCTGGCTGCTTTAGCTGACTGAGAACCTGAGAGCCGCACTGTGGTGCGTCTGTGCCACGGACAAACATGAAGGTTCATTTAGTTCATTGTACAAAGAATTACAAAACAGTTCCTTAGTTAGCTGACATTATACAGTATTCCTGCAAATACTGAGCAATTGTTTCATTCAGCCTTTTTATTGGTATTTCATCACATCAGTGGTAGTGGTTAATGCTAGCTAATAGTAATGGATACAATGATTGAATATTTATGTTTTGCATAGAGGTATTTGATAGTAATAAACTACATGATGTTAGCTACACTGTTAAAATAGTTAAGAGTAATGGATACACATTTAAAATTGTTTGCTAACAGTAGTGCATACGTGGGTTCAATCGATAACGTTCAAAGAGCTCATGGACAATTAAAGTAATTAATGCTGTGAAAGTGGTGGATGAATATAGAAGAATAGTGGATGAATAAATTGATATACTTGAAAAAAATGTAGTGGATAGAAGCGAAACTGATCCTCCGCTTTTGCACTTTTCTGGTGAAGCCTTTCCTTCCCTATACGTGCACGACTGGTCTCTCTTATCTCATCAGATAAACAATAAGAAAGTCGTATTGCAACTGTCGAACGGATGAGCAGATTGTTGGTGTAAAGAAATGCGTGGACGATGGGATAATGCTGCTTCGATCGGAGCAGCAGTCATAAACAGAGGATCCTACGCAGTCTCCTCCTCTCTAACATTCTCTATGTCAGTGGATTCATGCGCTTTAGTTGAAAACAAAACTCCTACGAAGGAAGAAAACAACAACAACAACCAGGCGTCAGTTAGAGGCTGTTTTACAATTCCTTTCCCGTGCTTCCCTTTCTGTCACTTCTCCATAATTCTTGGTATTTCAGTTAGACAGGCCCTCTTTCTGAAGCTTCCCCTTTTCCATGGATTCCTATATTTCATGATTTCCACTTCTTCCTCTTCAGTTGTACAAACAGAGGTAGAGGCATGGGGAAATCTGGCTGCCCCTGACATGCAAACCACAAGCTGGTGGGACTTGCGCGATCCGTCAGTACTCTTAACTGCTCTGTGGTGGGAAAAGAAGGAGCAGTTAGTTGGGCCCAGAGGACACTTCTCTTTTCTGATCACTCTGGGAACACCAGACTTTACAGATTGCACTTGAGTCGTAGCGTTTACTGTCTGCACTCTGAACGGCCTTGATTAGATGGATTGAAACGCCTGCATACAAGCGAGTTTGTCTTACGTGTGCCTGCGTGTGATCATCGCACTCTCTTGCTCTGATAGACACACCGCCGTCGTCCCTAGTTTCACACTGTTTCCTGTGTCTCTGTTTCCTGTTTATCTTGCTGTCATTTGTTTTACCAAAGTGTGATGGTGCTAGATGATCTGTTTCTTCATCACCGACATCCTCAAAGAGTAAGCACGCTGTCCATGTGTGTCCTAACGTAGCTACGCTGCTGGGAAATAGAAGTACGGTTAAGATGAGTAGGCTGTGGATTGATCTTATCTGATACCGGTTGTTGATTTCTCTCATGCTTTATTCACAAAAACTGTTGAAAGTAAGAGGGGAAGCGCTTGAAGTGTTGATGCAGCGTCCTGGTGAACATGAAAATGTTGCAATGTGCACTAGGGGAGGTTTTCCCTTGCAAAACGGTTGTTGCCCTAGATTTATTACAGTGCAGTTGCAAGGCCTTTGAACACGGTGTCTATCCCGACAGAGGAAAGAGAGGATGAACGTAAACAAGGTGGTTACAAAAAATCCAGGTGTTTTTAATGTTCTGTTTCATGGCAGGAATTAAAAAGTAGTCTAAAATTACATGCATTTATTTGAACAAGTTTCATTCAAATACAAAAAAGAAGAGAACTGTAAGGAAGTATCTTACCTAAATAATGTGCAAAAAATAATTGATCCATGACAATCTGTCAGGTTAACCATGAATGTTGTACAAATAAGAACTAATTAATGACATACTTAAACTAGGTTTTTACTTAAAATTAACACACAAAATTATATAGTTGTCTTTTTAAGTAATATGGTGGATATAAAGATTTATTGGAAACATCCATTCTTTCAGTAAGGAGAGTTAAATAAGTTCATAAAGCCTTTCAGACCAGGCAAAGGAAACGTTAAGGCTACACCACGCTGTTACAATACGCAGCGTTGTCTATTCTCATGCCACAGTATCAATATCACACTGATAATTGCCCATCTTTAGATTACATCATGAAAGAATCATGCTCCTATTCTAAACCGTGGCCCCCCCCTTGCCCTCTTTTCCAGCCTGTAACATTAAAGTTGAGGCTCGCAGTGATGAGGAGAATGGGCTGGCCTGTGACATGAATGGCGTGGAGGAGGAAGAGTGCGCGGAAGACTTGCGCGTGGTCGATGCCTCGGGGGCCAAGGTGAACGGCTCACAGCCGAGCCTCGAAGCCAAGGCCTACTCCTCGGCCGGCGGTATCCGGCTGCCCAACGGGAAGCTCAAGTGCGATATCTGTGGGATAGTTTGCATTGGCCCCAATGTGTTGATGGTGCACAAGCGAAGCCACACTGGTAAGCCACCTGCAATACTTCTTGCCCTTCCTTTGCACCCATGTTGACTGTTAGGATGGATGAGGGGTAGAAAGGGGTCTGCCGTGGCTGCCGCACACGTGCACAGCATTTCCTCAGACTTTTAATCGCATAAATGAAGCTTAGATTGGTTGCCTCCTACTAACACCAGCAGTATCACCGTGCATAAATAAACTTTAGAGACTGTTTTTATGTTTGCAATCAGCCCTATACTCAGTAGTGGGCTGTATGCATGTAAGCCTTCCTATCGTGCGTGAAATAGACTTTGAGCTTACCATTAGCATTCATTATTGTTCATCTAAATGACTCTGAATTACCACGTAGCAACAGTAACTTATCAAATTATTACAGCGATAAAGTAGCAGAGAAGAACTTGGTCCGAAAAAACATACCCTCAGTTGATATATAGGATGTATCTGCGACAATTAAATGGAATCTCTATGAAGTGACAATTATCTGGCTATTTAAAGTTTTTTTCAAATTTCCAAATTGATATTCTATTGTGATGAAGCTAAACCAGTGGTGGGGAACATTTTTGAAAAAAGCACTTAACTGTCAAGCTTTAGAAACTAATGAAACTCAAAATGGAAGAAAGGAACACTAGACTAATGTAAATGCAAAAGAAAGTACAATAAAAGATATAATGAAGTGCCTCCTATTTAAATAGAAAATACTCTGTGCTGAGTCTTTGCTCCTGAAATGCATTTTTAATGAATTTCCTTTTTTATATATTTTTGCTGCTTCAGTGGTGACTCTTATTTTATGGGGGGCCTTTGAGAAAAAAAAGAAAAAAAAAGCCATATTAAAACGTTCTCACAGAATGCCACAACACTCGGAGAGGTTGGATATTGGTTTATTCCAGAAGCGCTGATCAGGAAGACTGGCTCTCAACACAAAGTGTTTCCTTCGCTTTATTCAAATGAGGCTGAATTTGCATTGTGATGTGCCGCTCTTATTTTAGAGACGAAGAAGAGGAAAAAATGAGATTTTCAGATCAAATTGACCCAGGCAATGGTGCATCACGGAACTGGCAGGCTGAGTCTGAAAGGCTCTTGTTCGATCAGAGCGCCAGAAGCCAGCGGGGCAGGGGGGGCGCGCAGAGACGGGGTGTCACTCTGCCGGGGAACCCTCCCTCCGGCTGCTGGAGCGCTCTCTGCCCCGGAGACGCTCCGTCTCCCGGCTTGTTCTGGCACTCTGGCATGCATGTCCTGCAGCGCCTCGATTCATCGCATATAAAAGACAGAGACCGTGTGCCTTTATCGTGGCCAGCGGAGGGATCAAACATAGGGAGGTCAGGGAGAGAGGTGCAGTGCAAGACGAACATTCAAAGACCAGAACACAGAATAAGAACATACGAGTGTGTGTGTGTGTGTGTGTGTGCCAGTCAAACATACAAGTTGTGTTCCATCTGCCTCTTTACAGTCATGTGCATCTGCTCTTGTCCTCAGGAGAACGGCCGTTCCAGTGCAGCCAGTGCGGCGCCTCTTTCACCCAGAAGGGCAACCTGCTGCGTCACATCAAGCTCCATTCAGGGGAGAAACCCTTCAAGTGTCACCTGTGCAGCTACGCTTGTCGCAGGAGGGATGCCCTCACCGGCCATTTACGCACCCACTCAGGTGAGTACGCAAAGGTCACCGGCACCAAAAACCTGTGCACGCGTGGCACTCCTGGACTGCCTTTTGCAAAAGGCATGTCCTGTTCCGCACCGCATACGGTGAGAGGCTAGTTCTGTGTAAGGGGAAGTTCACGGGGTGTAGATATGGTGTCACTTTTTTTTCTTCTTTTTTTTTTCGTGCAAATGCTTTGCAGAAGTATGTGTTCATGAAATATTTGGGTGTAAACAGCACCCTTGCAAAGCCTGCTGTGAATAGCTCAGCAGAACAGAAATAATAAACTGCAAAATGGTTCTTGCACAGCTGGACTCCTCATTTATTTTATTGTTTGCAATTACCGTGAAAGGTTTAAAACCAAACAGTGTGTTTGTTTCAGTACTTTCTACCACGTTTGTGACACTTGAGAGCATTCATTGGTCAAGGCCAGCTTTACGGAATTTCTAAAAAGGATGGGCAATTTCCTAGAAACAACAGTTTTTATTCAACAGTTCATTTTAATTTTAATATTTTATATTCTGCAAACTGAGTGTATATTATTATCTTGTTTGAAAGCCTTCTATACAATCCAGGAATGAACTTCTAATAGAGAAATAGTCAAACCCATATTTATTTATTTGTTGGCATATTCTTTTTATGAATATACGCTCCTCAAGAATAAAGCTAATAAAGCCCCCAAAATGAATTATGTTTTAATTATGAAATGTAAAACCCCTAAGTTGCTTCCCAAATTCCCCCCCAAAACACACACCCACAGGGACCTCAGCAGTGGAGATAAAGATCACCTGTCAATCAGTCAGTGTGGGCGGAACTTCTGTCTTTAACATGGGGTTTTCTGTTGAGGGAACTTTGTAGGCGGTACTATTTTCTCTGACTACCCACTCTTCACGCTAAATACTGTCGTCTTTCTTTATATTCATTCCAGGAAAACTGGAATTGTAAAATCCAGCACTTCCTGTTCTTTTAATAACTTTGGTGGCTCTTTATCAAAAGAGCCACCAATGTGCATTTAGAACAACATACTAACTTAACTATTGGTTGAGTCTCTTTTGTGTAATAAACCAACATAAGGATGAATGTAATATCATACACATTGATATCATAACAGTATAGCACAGCCTTGTCCACTAAACCAATTTATTTTTCTCTGCAGTTGGAAAACCCCACAAGTGTGCGTACTGTGGGCGGAGTTACAAGCAGCGCAGTTCTCTGGAGGAGCACAAGGAGCGGTGTCACAACTACCTCCAGTGCATGGGACTGCAGAACAGCATCTACACAGGTTGGTGCCTCACCAGACGCACACTTCCCTTTCACCCAAAGACTTTACCCCGAGTGCAGGACGCGCTATGCATGCAGCAGTAGTGCAGAGGTTACTAGATGCTCCAACAGGTCAGGTCACATGACAGTAATTTCCATTCGAATATATCATGCAGAGGTTCTTCAGCTATTTGAAATACTGCAAGGATAACTAAGTCAATTTCATCATGTTGTCAGTATAAACGTCTGTATTTGTCTACACCTGGCCGTCATATATTGAAAAGGAGTTATTTGACGTGCAGGGTGCTGTATTCCTGTGCATTGAAGCCTAGAAACAAAGCTATACCTCATCTGTGAGCCTGAACATATACTATACTTAAAGACCAAGGGCCTTGCATGTGTCAGAATAATCCGCTCTGTGAGAAAAACCACCATCAGACCAGAAAATAATGTTTTCAGGCGCCTGCTCATCACTTTAAACAGGACAAAAACAAATTATTTTGACTCTGAAATCTACTTTTCTGTCTTGATTTCCCGTAGTAAAGGAAGAAAGCAACCAGAATGAGCAGAGGGAAGACTTAAGCCAGATGGGATCTGACAGAGCCTTGGTGCTAGACAGACTAGCTAATAACGTAGCTAAGCGTAAGAGCACTATGCCACAGAAGTTTGTGGGTAAGGGCCTAAATCTGCTTCCTTTGTGTGAATACAATATTGCTGCTTTTGCTGATACATTTGTGAAACCACTGCGCCTGTGAAAGCTGCATAGGTGAAGCTCCAATGTGTTAAGTGCTCATTCTTCTTTCTTATTTTTATTGCCATTCAGCCTCAACAGGAATTAAGCCTTTAAACTTGAAAAGCTTATGCTTGAATGTTTAAATTGTGTTTAATCAACCGAATAAACAGAACATACGGAGGCTCAGGATAAAGCTATTATGAGACTAGAAATACCAATATGACACAAGAAGAAACAAAAACTAAGCTATAAAGGAGCAGGCTCGGAATTAACATGGTATAAGTGCAGGACGGAGGTCAAAGTTCAAGCGCGTGAGTGATGTTTAACCTTGTGTCTCCTCAGGTGACAAACGCCTGTCGGACCTCTCGTACGACGGAGGAGCAGGTGAGCTGATTCAGCCCCACGTCATCGACCAGGCCATCAACAGCGCCATCAGCTACCTGGGGGCCGAGTCGCTCCGGCCTCTGGTCCAGACCTCCCCGGCCTCCTCTTCCGACGTGGGCCTCGGCTCCATGTACCCCTTGCACAAGCCGGCGCCCGAAAGCCACGCGGGGACGGGCCTCAGCCTGTCGGCCAAAGACAGCGCGGCCGAGAACCTGCTGCTCCTCTCCAACTCCAAGTCGGCCTCCAGCGAGAAGGACGGCTCGCCCAGCCAAAGCGGCCAGGACTCCACGGACACCGAGAGCAACAACGAGGACCGCCCTGGCGGCGCGGCGTCCGGCCTCATCTACCTGACCAACCACATCACCTCGGGGGTGAGGAACGGCATGGTGAAGGAGGAGCAGCAGAGGCAGTACGAGGCCATCCGGGCCAGCATGGAGATGGCGTCCGAGGGCTTCAAGGTAGTGGCGGCAGACGGGGAGCAGGTGAGGGCGTACCGGTGCGAACACTGCCGCGTTCTGTTCCTGGACCACGTCATGTACACCATCCACATGGGCTGCCACGGCTTCAGAGACCCCTTCGAGTGCAACCTCTGTGGCCACCAGAGCCAAGACCGCTACGAGTTCTCCTCGCACATAACGCGGGGGGAGCATCGCTACTGAGCCGCGGGGGCGGCGGAGAGCACACACACACCTCACAGACAAACGGCTGGATGTGTGGCAAAAAAAACACACACACACACACACACACACTCATGCAGACATGCAGCAGAAATAAATGAATAGGAAATAGAAGATGTAAAATACACTGTTGGTGTCTGAAAGGTGTTTTTTTATACAAAGTATGCATGTTTGTCGAACACAGATTCATGTACAACTAAAAACCAAGACTTGTATTTTCCCTTCTGAATGCCATGTTAAGTAGTAGTAGTAGTAGTAGTAGTAGTAGCAGTAGTAGTAGTAGTAGTAGTTCTTTTTTTTAAGAAACAAAAATGATGTGCAGTGAGGACGACACAGCAGAGTTACTGAGCCACAATCCTGCCAAGGTTTTTAAATGATGTATTTACAGTTTTTCCATGTATAAAATGTCTTTTCTTTTTTTCTACACGAATATAAAAGATTACCATATTTACATGTACAAATCTTTTTACTGTGTAAGTATTCTGCAGTTATTTTCAGTGCAGTAAAAACAATTTAAAAAAAAGGAAATTCAATCAATAAAAACAATCAGTGTAGATAACCCCACACACGCAAAGTTACAACCGGTACTTTATTTATATCACATTTACACGCCTGTATTTTTTTGTATTTATTACAGTGATCAATGTTTGTTTGTAGAGTAGGTAATAAACGCTGCGTCTCTTTCTGTCCGACTGTACTAAATGTGTTGAAAACAGGGCCGCTGCTGGATTTTATTTTGATTTCTTTCAGAAGAAAATGTTATCTTGGCCTTTTTGTTTTGCACCTGATGGCTAACAATTGTTTCACTCACAGGAGAAAACAAGCAGGTTTCTGAGGTTTGAAGGAACTTTATGCTTGCAAAATATCAATAAAGGATATTTTATATATGCACGAAGAGCGAGCGTGTGTTTTGTGTAACTGTGTGTGAGTGCAGCACTATGGAGGAAGTTGTTAAATGAGCAGCGGTCCACTGCTAAAAGACCTGCAGCTACGTGGGATCATCTCTATATTTTCATAGGGATGCTTCATATTTTATTTTCATTATTAACCACCTGTCAAAATGTCTACGATAAACTGAAAACCATTCCTGGAATTAATGAAAAGTTTTTACCTTCTTGAAAAAAATATGTAGATTTTGTTTCTAACTCTCAAACCTTCTGAAATAACTACGTCCAATTGTCAATCAAGACGCTGCGCTCGCCGGCCTGTCAAGGGAGCGCCGGGAAAGAGTGAATGACTGGCGTGCGAGTACAAAACCCACAAACAATAATATCATAATAAATAAACACCTCTCCACATGAGATTACCATGAGCCGTTTAAAAGCATTTCAATTTTGCATAAAAGAAAAAAATCTTTTCTTCAAAAACATTCCTTCATACGAATTCAGCAACGGACGGCAAACAGAAGGCAGAATCATCACAGTGGCTTTTGTCCACACAGAGACCCTCGTGTTAATATTGTGACGCCGAGGGATCACACTGTAGCATAAGCACACACACACACACACACACACACACACACCAGCACGTTGACGTGTGTTGTGACCAGGACCCCGAACAGCGTGGTCCTCTGAGGAGCAGCGGAGGATCAGGCGCTGGAGCAGAAGGCAGGGGCCGGGGCTCTGAGGGCCGGGGCTCTGAGGGCCGGGGCTCTGAGGGCCGGGCCCGTCTGCGGAGGCCGAGTCCGGGCCGGCAGGAGCAGCTCAACGTCGTCCAGATGGCTGCTGTGTGATTTAGCAGAAACGGGAAGCAGCTGTGGCCAGCCAGACCCCCCCCCCCCCCCCTCCCCCACGCCCCCACGCTTGACTGGGACCCAACAGGGGAGGGAGGGCATTTGCATGAGAGGGATTCATCTGGCCAACCAACTCTGGCCCTGCCAGAATCCCAAATCTCACTTCCCCTTTTGAGCAGCTGAAACGCTCCTTTCAAATCGGATTCTACCGATTTAGCCATGAATCCAACAAGACGTTAGTACTCCAGGTGTTTCCCGCTGTGCGCCGTTACTAAAAGCCACAATGGAAGATTCGCTGCATGCTTTGCAAATTCTGTCGCTGTTTCAACCGGGGTTTCCCAACACGTGGGGCAGATTTCATTAACATGTTTAGGGGCTTCATCTAGTCCCTAAATGGACTCACCCGATGCCTTCAATTAAGGACAATTTTGAGACATTTCCTACATAATGTGTACTCGGGTAACGTAGTCAAACCAGCTGTGTTTGACAAAAAGTAAAAAGTCACTCATCATCATTACCGCTTATATAATAACGTAACACATTTTCAGGAAAAAGTTACTTATGTTCTTTAGATTTTTTAACGGGATTGGTTTGTGATCCATGGTGATAAGAGCTTTTTAATGCGTTGTATGTATTAATGTACTAACTTCCGAAGTGTTTCCCCTCCCATTGAATAAAGGGGGCATGTTGTTTACCCCGGGGTTTTTTTTTACACCTTGTTTCATACAAATTCCCAACATCAATCCATTGTGTAAATGGCGGACCTGCCACCAACAATAAAAATCGCCAAATAGAGAAGTAATTGCAGAATGTAGATACACGAATACTATTGTTGGAAAAATTATATAACAAAAATACTGTTTGATTTCATGAAAAGCAGCTACAAAACAACTTCTCTACGTTACTCAAATTCCTACCTTGATTTTAAATGGTAAATTATTCTTTTGACCACACAACTCCAGATGTGACACTCCTGCATTCAGTCAAATCGAGTAACAAACCATACAGCCACATTCAGGAGGGGGGGGGGGGGGGGGCAATGGGCGACAAATTTAGCTGCTGGCTAATTGAACAAAGTTTCATACAATCGCCAGCGACACGTCTGAAATATTTATCAGGGATCTGACCAAAAAGATGAAAAATAAATGAAAGTCTTCTTTCATGGGCTTCCAGATTTTCAAAGATTGTTCCATTAAATTTACATGAGAATTTCATTTTATGTGTGCGCAGTCTATGATGGTCCTCCCCGATGTGCGTTTGACCACCGACGAACGAGTCAACATTTTTAAGAATCTCTGTTGCCGAGAGCGACGACTCTGCGACGGACAAACCGGGTTTGTGCAGCGCGGAGCCGAGCGACTTGACGTTTTACAGCGGAGATGCCGGAAAGTTTGGAAGTATAATAGATCGAAACCAGCCACGAACCCCGTGAATTAGGACGAGCACTGATGTTCTAATCACGGAGCTCATGCTTCTTTTCTAATGAAGAGGAGGTGTTGCAGAAACAGGTTTTCCTGTTGAGTCTATTGCTCTCAATCAGTAACCGGAAGAGACGCAACTTTTCACAATATGGGACCCAGGATGCGCCCCGTGTTGCCCAACTTCCGTGGATACCATCAGCACACGCAGCCTCAGGAGGATCTCAGGGATGACATTAGGGACGTGCCAACAAAGCTCTCAACATAAAGACTCCCCTCTGTGGGAGTCGATGAGGTTGCGTAAAGGAAGAAGCACACAATGAACTGGAGATCATTTCGATTTAATAGGAAAACATATAATGTTGGCAGTGTAATTAAAGCAAATCAAACATTTACTAGAAACAGTTCATGCATTCAACATGGTGCCGAACGCACGTACCAACCACAACAGTGAAGTCAAAATCAAACAGTCCGCCGCTTCTAAACGTAGGGAACTCATTTCAATGCAAATTGAGCAAAAGTATTTAATTCCCTTTCTCGTGTCAGGTGTTCCTGCTACCTCATCCACCTTATGTCCTTTGTTTGCAACAAAGAAGGTTTTGAGTTGAAAGTTTGGTAGAAAACACTCCTAAAACAGATGAGGACCGGGTGCCGCGCTTAGCGTCCACATCCAAAAGTCTTATTCCAGTCTTCGTACAGCTCCAGGTCTTTCGGTGAGACGCTGGGTCGTACCGCCTTCAGGGCCTCCTGGAAGTCGCCGTAGAGGATCGGCCTCACCTGATCTGCCGTAATAGTGGCGATGTCGCTGAGCTGGATGCTGCGGATGGGCCCCAGAGCCGCCTCTCGACACAGCTGAGTCATGTCGGCCCCGGAGAAGCCCTCGCTGGCCTCCACCACGCTCTCCAGCTCTCGCTCCCCGAGCCGCTTCTTCTCCGGCGCCATGAGGTTAGTCACTATCTGCCGACGGGCCGCTGCCTCGGGCAGCGGGATGTACAACCTCTTTGCCAGCCGCCGCCGGGCAGCCTCGTCTATCTCTTGGGGCCGGTTGGTGGCGCCCACCACCAGGAGGCGCTCCTCGGCGGCCGTCGACGCCCCATCCAGCTGCACCAAGAACTCGGTCTTTATGCGACGCGTGGAGTCGTGCTCGCCGTCGGTGCGCTGGGACAGCAGCGAGTCGATTTCGTCGATAAAAATGACCGCGGGCTGGTGGCAGCGGGCGATGGCAAACAGGGCTCGCACCATTTTCTCTCCCTCGCCCACCCACTTGGACGTGAGGGACGACGCGCTGATGCTAAAGAAGGTGGCACCGGACTGGCACGCTATGCATTTGCCGATCAGGGTCTTGCCAGTCCCGGGGGGTCCGAACAAAAGGATGCCTTTGGGTGGACCCCGGAGGCCAGTGAAGATGTCGGGTCGCAGCATGGGCCAAACCACAATCTCCTTTATGGTGGACTTGGCAAAGTCCAGACCTGCTATGTCATCCCAGGTGACGGGAGGCCCGTGGTCCATGATCTCGCTCATGATCAGCTCGATTATCTTTGGCTCAAAGTTTTTCAGACGCTCATCCAGGATCTGAGGCTCCTGGTTGGAGCCACAGCTCCGCCCTCCTTCCTCCTCGTCCTCCTGTCTCGGAATGGGTGACACGAACTTCGAGAATGTCCCCCGGGGCCTGTTGGCACCCAGAGATTTCTTCAACGTTGCCGCCATGCCGGCGGTCTGACCCCTCTGGGGCTGATTGGAATGTTTTTTCTGTTGATCGACGATGAACTGCGCGCGGGCCGTTTTGAAGTTGCATCCAGCTCGCGGGTCCGAGCCTGCTTGACCTGCGGTTTGGCCCCTGCCACCATCCCCTCCATCTGGGTTGTAAAAATTCTTCCGCTTCGATGGGTTGGAGGTGGGGAAGAAGGAGGACTGAGACTTTTGTCCCCCGCCTGAAGGGCCGGGATTTCCCTGTGGAGGAACCAATGAAGAATGACTCAACGCGGGCGGCGGTCGGGCCGCAGGCCGGGAGAAGGAGTTCGGAATACCCGACAACCCCTCAGAGCCCATTGGCCTCTCTACAGTCATGTCAGCTGCAGGATTACAGTTGTTGACCTCCGCTTGAGGCTGTGGTGGACGTATGGGTTTGAACAGCGCAGCCGGTGACCCGCCCGGCCCTCCCACCGATAGGTCAACATCTTCTGGTGCCACCAGAGAGCCTCCCCCCGCTTTCCCCGACTGAAGCATCCGCTGCACGCAGGGCAGCTCCAGCACATTCTCCACGGTCAGAGACGACTCCCATTTGTCACTGTAGTTCCTCTGACTGCGGGCCAGATGCAGCGCGCTGTCTGCATAGTTGTTAAGCCCCGCGCGGGGGTCATCCGAGTCCAGCACCGAGGCGTAGCGCTCCGAGTAGGTCCCGAGCAGGCTGGCGGCGGCGGCCTGAGAGAGCTGGGAGCTTGCCCATGCATACTGAATGGAGAGGATGTGGGCCCGGTAGGCATCGGCCGTCTGTTCAGGTGTACAGTTGCCAGATGAAATGTCAAAGGACCTCCGCTGCCATTCGTCCAGGTGTGCTCCACTCATGCCTGGCCTGCTCCGGCCTGATGGAGGAGAGGGGACAAAAGTTATTAAAAATACATGAGCTCAGTAAAAGCCAAGGTACTCATCGTCACTGACCCATACACACTAAAAAGTTACATCTCATTAAATGATATACTGTCATGGGGAAACATTGATTTAGTACTGCACAGGCATTACATTAATTGACTCGCAAAAGCAGATTAAAAGATCGAAAGATTGAATGATGATGTCCTTGCAGCTCCACTCCTCACCTATTTTATAAACATATTTCAATTGTTTTTAACCTCTAAACCTAAAATGTTGGTTTTCTTAAGTCTCGGCGAGCAACAGTAAATGATTTTACGGGATAATTCGTCCCCCTCTGTGCAGATAACGTTAAGCTCATGTTAAATATCTCATTTGATGTAACGTAAGTTAGTCCTCAAACTCGAGGGAAGTTCACTGGCAAATCCTCTGCAGTGACGTTTCACTTTTGGTCAACATTCTGTCAGAGACACCTGGCGTTTGGTCTCCATGGCGGGCAGCACTACGTTCACTTCTTACAGACAGGACCGACTACGAACTACGCTGGGAGGTCATTTGAAACACGCAACAACACACAACGACGAGGACGACTGACACTTACTTTTGGAGATTTCCTCTAAATAAATAAATAGGTGCAAGACTCAACATTTGACGGGATTTATGATGATACAAATTTCTGTAAAGTCAGTTGTTCCCGCCACCTGTTTTTTTCTTCAGCTGCACAACTTCCGGTCACGTCCAAATTCTGCCGAGAAAACCTAAAAAATGTCTTTCAGAATGACTTTCACCTAATGTAGGAACCGCCTGCCAAAACTAAACCAATTTCATCCGCAATGGGTTCCTAAAAACATGATATATAAAACTAACGGAAAAATAATAAAGCGCTAAGTTGAGGCAAATTACTTTTTTGAAAGTGTTGGAACGGGACTCATAGCTAGTCACAACTGGGAGTGCTGCATTTATCCCCCAGGTCCGCCCAGGGAGCGTCCACGTGATGTGTTATTGTGCCGCTCTCTCAGTTTCAAGCGCAACGCTTCTTGATTAGTGAAGACATATTATTGAAAACCAGGTAGTTTTACACAGAGTGGGAACCTTTCTTTTGAGTATTAACACTCTATTCTCTGAACTGTGGTATTAACGAAAGACTATTTCAACACAGGGGTCCACCCTGGTCACACGTAACGAGGTCTACGACGCCATCTTCTGGCCAGAGCCACAACCACACCACGCCAAATCAACGGTTAGAGTGGCGCGGCGCTTTTACCGTGTAGCATGCTGGGAAATGTAGTACCAGCTTTGTTACAATTCGTTTAAGTATCTAATTTCGACGTAAATGCTTGTTAAATGAATAATAACTTTGAGCAGATTATATTAAAATTTGTTTTTATTTACTTATCATGTGTATCGGGAATATGTACATATGTACTATTCTTGTTGTTAGTGTGTGGGTAAACTACACTAACCACAAACGTCGGGTTTTTTGTTTATGCTGTCGACAGCGGATGACAGCGACTGCTGCGCTGCTGAGTATCAAAGAACACGCCGCCACTGGGAAGAAGCGTTTTGGGATGGTGTGTAGCTAACTAGCCAGCTATTTAATATTTTATGCCACTTTAGTAGTAGACGCTCTGTCTTTGGGGAGAGGTACCGGAACCGTACTCCCGAATAGCGATTCGTAGGGGTCGCGGTCCGTTAGCCAAAGCTAAACCGCTGACGGGATCTGCGTGGATGCAGAAGGGACCGGCCCCTGGAGCCGGGTGCTGCAGGCAGTCACACCCTTGTCCGGTGCGAGGAGCCGCTGCGTGTCGCTCTCCTCCATGTGTTGCATGGTTTTACGAAGCCACCTGCTAAGCTCAGACCCCTGAATTAGAGCTTCGGAACAGTACTGGGAGTTTAGCGGTTAACTGGGCGGGCGCGGAGTGGATATGACCGACTCATCGTCATGGCCCGGGCCGAGCAGATAACCCTGAACCGTCTGTCTGCTGCAGTCCCACCCGGACAGTCCCACCGCCAGCTGAGCTAGACAGCGAAGTTATTTATACGATCAACCCTCCCTGTTACACCCCCCCCCCCTAGTCTGTGCGGCATCATGAATACCCCGATTTACACGTTTGTCACCCGTGACGACAACAGCACGGTTTACGCAGAAGTTTCCAAAATCCTCCTGTCGACTGGACACTGGAAGAGGCTGAAACGGGACAATCCCAGATTCAACCTAATGCTCGGTGAACGGAACAGACTGCCCTTTGGACGGCTTGGTAAATCGGTTTTCCCCCTTCTCATTTCATATATATATACATATATATTATATTATAGCTATATATAGCTGCTGTGACCGGGCAGGGCTGCTTCCTGTGGGAAGTTAGTCCCTCTCTCTGGATGTGCAGATGAGGCCCCGTGTTTCTTTAATCCTTGTTCTTATGACCATTTGCGTCTCCACAGGTCATGAACCTGGCCTGGTGCAGCTGGTGAATTACTACAGAGGAGCAGACAAGCTCTGCAGAAAGGCGCCCCTGGTTAAGTGCGTGTTTCTCTTTTCAAGTGACAGATCTGTATCTTTTGCTGTCGTTCGTGTTACTATCGCATTTGTTAGCTGACTGTTTCCCTTCTCTGCCATCAGGCTTATAAAAACCAGCCCGGAGCTCTCCGACTCCTGCAACTGGTTTCCAGAATCCTACATCATCTACCCCACTGACCTCAAAACCCCCGTTGCCCCGGCTACGAATGGCATTAGCCATCTGAAGAGCAATCCCAAGACGGACGAGCGGGAAGTTTTCTTGGCCTCCTACTATTCCAAAAAAGAAAGCGGGGAGGGCACAGTGTGGATAGCCAAGTCCTCTGCCGGAGCTAAAGGTGACATTTGTAACCCACGTATTACTGCATTAAATCAAAGACAGGGGTAAGCCTCAGTCCGACATTAGTCTTCTTAAGCTATATTTACTTCAACCAAATTGATAAGAGACTCCTGAGCTGCGTTCAGTGTTTTGCTGCTAAATCCCTTTTTGTGTGACCTGCTGTTTTTTCGTTGTTGACTACTGTCTGGCACGCGGCACCAGTGGCAGCTCTGGTTGTTTTGTCTTGCAACAGGTGCTGGTATTTTGATATCCCACGATGCGAATCAGCTGCTGGAGTACATTGACAATCAGGGGCAGGTCCATGTCATTCAGAAGTACCTGGAGAAGCCGCTGCTTCTGCAGCCGGGGAATCGCAAGTTTGACATCAGGCAAGTCTTTGGCGTGTTACCCACAGAGGCCGCGCTGGTCCGTCTGGACTCAGGAAGCGGGGCTGTTGTTATGCTTATTATCATGTTGCTAGGAGCTGGGTGCTGGTGGACCATCATTACAACATCTATTTGTACCGGGAGGGCGTGCTGCGGACGTCCTCGGAGCCCTACAACAGCTCCGACCTCCAGGACATGACCAGCCACCTGACAAACCACTGCATCCAGAAGGAGCACTCCCACAACTACGGGCGGTACGAGGAGGGCAACGAGATGTTCTTTGATGAGTTCAGGCTGTACCTGCTGAACACTCACAATGTCACCCTGGAGACGGCCATCTTACCACAGATCAAGCAGATCATAAAGTAGGTCCACTTTGCTTTTGCCGCTGTTATCGTTGGATGTCATGTGATAGAAAGCATTGCTAAGCTATCACATTGGCACATAAAGAACGTCGTGTTTTTACTTAGTTCATGTATCAGTGCCGTACTGTATCCAAACACAAAAACTACCATAGTAACACTGAACAATTAGGACTGAGTTGTCGGATCTATTTAGTTCTGGAGGACAGTTTTGTCATTTCTATGAAAGTCTTGCACAGTAGTCGTTTGGTCAAACTTTCATGGCGTCTATTACTCGGGTTCATGGCTGAATACAGATCAAATCATTTCTGTGTTTAGAGCCAGTTCTCAAATGTTAGATTACAAAGCTGCTCATCTAACAATATGAGTGAGATAAACACCCCGGCATGCTAAACGTCATGCTAGCTGTACCAGTCTGCATTGTTGTAGAACCTTTTACTTGATTCTCGCAAAATGAGGGAGAATAAAGTTTGCATTCGTGTCCTTTAAAACACTTCAGCTCATACAGCTCCACACGTTTACAACAAATAGCTAGTTACACAGCTGTAATGCTAGTACACATGTAGTATTCAAGCTTATTAATTGTGATCACATATTTGTGTGCTGCTGTGAAAACACCTCGGCAGGGAGCACTTTTACGTGCATTTATTTTCCACTTCCACAGCAGCAGATTTCTGTAAACTTTGCCAATGAATTGCATCGAGGGTTTGCGTTGTCGGGGCGTTTGGCAAACAGCCGTGTGATTGGAAACGATGTCGCCGTCTGGTCTCACAGGAGCTGTCTGACATGCATCGAGCCGTCCATCAGCACCAAGCACCTGTCCTACCAGAGCTTCCAGCTCTTCGGATTTGACTTCATGGTGGACGAGAGCTTCAAAGTGTGGCTCATCGAGATCAATGGAGCTCCGGCCTGCGCACAGTCAGTACCACTCAGCACATCGTTTGTGCTCAAACGGGGTCTTTCCTCGCGTCCCTTTACATTTGATTGACAATCTATTGATAGACAATCTATTTTCCCCCATTATGCAAAAATATCTTTGGTGAAACATTTGAATATTTGTGTGCTGGTTGTTTTTCTCAGTCAGAAATGAGAAAGCTTTGAAAGCATCGTAACCGTTGCAAAGATATACATCATAATCATGCTGCTAGATGAGCTCTTGAGATTAAAATGCAAACATGTTGTGGCAATGACTTCCCTCTGCTAAATATTAAATGAAACACCGAACCCCTCCAGGAAACTGTATCCGGAGCTATGCCAAGGCATCGTGGACGTGGCCGTTTCCAGTGTCTTCGCCCTGAGCAGCAGCGCGGACGCCTCGTCCGCATCCTCGTCTCCTTATTCTTCCTCCCCGTCCTCCACCTTCACCACCAACACCTCATGCTCCTCCCCCAAACTGAGAGGGCCTCTCCACGTGGGCCCTTTCACTCGACTGTAAGTACATGCAAACGGCCCCCGTCCCCCGCTCGGCCTTCTCCGTACAGCTTCTTCATGCCCCGTCCCTCACTACCGGACTCCACCTGAGAAGCAGCACACGCCTGATCGACCTGCTCTCCTGACATGAATGTTACAAATCTGAAGAACCCAACAGGTGGATGACTGCGGAGCTCAGAAGGGCGCAGAGGCGCTGCGATGGAGACTGTAGTGCCTTACGTGTCCCGCTCCCTTAAAAAGACGGCCAGTCTACTTGCTCTGTAAGCCTTCGCACTGTTGTCTGGCAAAGGGAAGAAAACGATAATGACCCGTCCAGAAGAATTAACATGAAGCTAAATTCATGACGTTGTGTAAACTTGTGTAATTCTAAATGCATAAAACAAAACGTATTGGGGCTACATGAACCTAATAGTTTCCTTCATTGAACAATAGTTTTACCTTAAATAGACTAAGACACTAAACCAACTGTCCGACGAGTTGAGCAACAAAGCCGTCAAGGTTTGACTTGACGATCGCCGTTTCCCCTCAAACTACAATTGGAAACGACCCTTTTTTTTTTACATTCATGGCAGTTGGCTGATAGAACTGAACAGTGAAAACCTCCTTCACCTGAAGTGTATGTGACCGCTGAGAGGAACGACAACTGCCATTCAGCATCGGCCTGCATTGTTCTGTTCTCCACTTAGAAAACACAGTTCAGCTGACAGTATTTTTTTAGGTAGTTTTATAAGTCAATTGCAGAGCGCATGTTTGTGTGAAAGCATGTCGTAGAATGCGTCCTCATTCACAAGCTGCACCTTTGGTAAAAAGCGCTGCCCTGATGTCTGATCTAGATCTGGTGTGTTAGACTGTCTTTGTGGAGTGTTTTTGAAGTAGAGTAGATTGTACAAAGTGTTACGGAGATAAAAAGCCGGCGGGGAAAACATACGGCGCCACTTCTTGCTTCTGACACGTGTCTTCTTAAACGTACGGCGTCCAACGTGATATTACCAAAGAGAGGTGAACATAGGACGGAGGTCACAGACAGCTCCTCATCCATCACTGCCTCGATCCGGTTACGGTTTCTACACTATTTTTTACATTTTAGTATTAGTATTATTCTATTATTATTCCTTCACCTGTCTTATGATGTATGTCGTAGTAACTGGAGGAGACATAAAAGGTGCAACTGTCCAAGATCACTTCAGACATTAAACTAAATTAGCGTGTGTGACAGCTTCACTTTGGGGAAGTTGATTCCACTGTTTGACTGCAGACGTTTATTTTTGATAGAAAAGCTCATTGTAAGCATTTTAGTTGGCGTGTCCGTCACATTGGTAGAATGCCTGCTGCTCCTTTCTTCCATCCTCAATTAAAATGGGCGGGGCTTCACATGTCGCTCAGGACATCTGTTAAGGGACGCCATCCGAGCATTGGTTTTACATGTGTTGTTTACAAGACGACTCTTGGGGAAGGAAGGAGATGTAGGAAGGAGCCTGTCAGCAGACGTGGATGTTACGGGATTAATCACATAGGATGAATCCATTGATGGGATGGATTCCAGAGCCCTGATGTAGCTGAAATACTTGTGTAAATGTATCAATGCTGCCAGAACATTGGTATTTATGTGAGGATCGTGTTGGCAAAAGGCTCACGGTTGTTTTGTTTTTTTATTATCAGAAGCAAATGTTTCTTTTGGGATTTGTGAGGAAAATGTCTCTCCAGCAAAGGGAAGGATGCCTTTGGCAATTTCATTTTGATAACAAGACGCAAAGGACCTCAAGGATTCAAATTCAGCTTGATTTGTTCCTATTTAAAATATTATTCCTCATTCATTATATGGTTTCTTAAATTTGATGATGTCATTTGCTCAGTTTGTAATGTTTTTCTGCTAGATTTCCTCATCTTTACCAAAGATTAGATCCCTGCTGTATTGTCAGTGTCAATCTATATGTTTTGTAATGGCTGTAATCTGGATTTCATCACATCGATAGGCCAACGTTGAGGTTCATGTTCAGAGGGATGTCTGTGCTGGTTGTCTTGCATGATCATTTCTCTTCATCAAATACAATACTGCTAGTATACAATTCAAATACTAGTGTCAAGCCATGTTACGTTTGTATTTCTGCTTAATGTGGTGTGTTTTCTTTTATTCCAATTAAAATACTTCTCAATATGAAGCAACAGGAAACGAGACGTGTCTTTTGGACCACGAAGGCAACTTGTATATCAGAAACACTGAGTGAAAGAAAAAAGGCTGATGTGATGTGAAATGTATAATAATAACCACCATGTAAAGACGTCCACCTGTTGTTTCCTGTGTGTTGAGTTAATGGTGTATTGAAGGATGAATTTCCGTGTTTATTGTTTTTTTCCAACCATAACAAATTCCGTATTTTCCAATCAAAATCTAAATGTGACGACAGTTGTGCTGGAGCTGGACTCCTCCTGAGGACGGCTGCTCTGGTCCAGATGTTTTTACCTCAGTGATCGATTCTTTGAATGAAATAGGGGCCTCATCAATGATTAATATCCAGACTGTACCTCTTTCGTTATGGAGACACGTCGATTCTGCTGCCGTGTGATAAAAGAAAAGGATACAAAACAAAAACTAACAGTGTTAGGAAAACAAGTTAACGCGGGGATGAGATTCATCATTTATTAGTTAAAACGTTACTTTTTACAGAAAGTACAGGAAGAACATTGATGAAGGTTTTCTGTGGAAGAAAACTTAAATTCACATTCACATCTGCACTTTTTTTCATTTTGAAAGTAGAGGCTCGTGATTTCTTTTTTTTAAATTTCCCTGGCAGACCTTTTGTGTGCTCAAAGTATCTGTAGTAGAAGCAGCACAGGTGTTCAACAATTCTATATTATCATTATATTGTAACAAGTGGGAGTCGTTTGAAGCAGTAATCCTGTGTTCACTGGAGGTTGATAGATGAGCTAAATACAGATGTTATGACAGACATCATCCTTAAACTGAATATCTTCGAGAAACTGACTAAAGACAAAATGCATTGTCTTTTATTTCATTAATGACATGACCAGTGCCTCCACCTAGTGGTTGGGGGTTATATATTACACATTACAGTAACTTCTTCTGTGGTGTTTAACTGCAAGTTACATCCTTGTCGCATTACTGCCATCTTTCGGTTATTAAAATTCCCCATCAAACCTGTTGCTCACAAAAATGATTCCTAGCCCTCCACCCTGGTATATTGTTTAGCTTATGTCCATTTCTCCCCAGAGTGTGTAACGTGGTGTGTAGTCTGGTGCCTGGCAGCAGTTGTTAAGCTAAATACTGTTGGTTAACGTGCCAACATTTTATTAAACTGAACTTGACACCCATGTGGCGTTTACGGCTTTTTGATTTTTCTTTTTGCAGCACCAAGAACAGCAAACGCGCTGAGTTCACCTCCACGGCAACATGACGTCACGCCCAGTGGATGGGAGGTGTTAGAAAAATGAATGCCCGACATCGGTGTTGAATCATCAAAAACAGGACATTTAATGTTTGCAAAACAGGAGACAGACTTGGCGCATCAGTGTCAACCCTATTCAAAGATCTTCTTTCCGGAGTCACCATTTATACTTTACATACGGTTGTGCACGTACAGTCTGGTCTGATTGTTCCAGACCTCCTGTTATTGTCTGGAGACGTACATCTGACCATCATGAGACACAGCGCGTCCTCCTTGACACTGACATGTCATCAAGATCGAACAATACAGACGTGACCTTTTAATCATAACGTGACATTTGCAGTTTTTCCAACAGGAGGTTTCTGCTGGGAACACGTTTCCATGGTAATCCCTCGTGTAGACTATCGGCGTGATGAGAGATTTATTTATTCATCAAGTGTGGTAGGACTTGGTTAGTCAACAAGTTTCTTCAACAACTTTGCAATGAGTGAATTCCTGTTTGCCACCATGTAGCGTACAGCATCAACATTTTTCCCGCCGTTATCAAACTTCACACAACATGGCCCACTGGACACCAACAGCTTCCCGGGACGGTACTTTTGATTTAACTTTTCGATCCAAGATGTCCTTTGTCCGGATTTTTTTATTTTTGAACAGGACAGAGGTCAAGATATAAAGTTGGCTGGCTGCTTCTTGAAGACTATCAACCACTGTTTGGTCAACGTCCACATGCATATCGGCATTGAGCCAAGTCCGCTGTCAATTTTTCCAGCCGAAACTGAAAAATACTCACCCTCTCAAATTAAATCAGAAGAGGTCACCATCAGAACCCCCCTGAGGAAGCAATGTCAACTTCATCAAAAAAAAAAAAAAACTACTGGAGGTTTACTTCTGGGTGACTCTGTTTTCAGCTGAAAGTTTGTATCCGTTGTGAAGTGTCATGTGTGTCTTCAGACGTCCACTTGTAGTGAAACATTTACCGCAGTCTGAGCAGCGGAACGGTTTCTCCCCTGTATGACATCTAGTGTGGATCTTTAAATTTCCAACTTGAGTGAAACATTTGCCACAGTCTGAGCAGCGGAACGGTTTCTCCCCCGTGTGACATCTAATGTGGCTATTTAAATTTCCACTTGTGGTGAAACATTTACCACAGTATGAACAGCTGAATGGTTTCTCACCTGTATGACATCTTATGTGGCTATTTAAATTTCCAACTTGAGTGAAACATTTACCACAGTGCGGGCAGCTGAAAGGTTTCTCACCTGTGTGACATCTAATGTGGATCTTTAAATGCCCAATTTGAGTGAAACATTTACCACACTCTGAGCAGCTGTAAGATCCATCAGCTTCTGTTTCGGTTTGATCAAGCTGTGAGGACTGAGCTTCCTCTTCATCATCTTGACTCTCCACAGGAATGAATGAGACCTTGATGCCAGCCTCCTCCAGGCCTTGAAGCTGCTCTCCCTCCTGACCGCTCCAGGGTTCCTCTTTAATGTGGGTGGGCTCTAGGTACTCCTGTTCCTCTTTAATGTGGGTGGGCTCTATGTACCCCTGTTCCTCTTTAACGTGGGTGGGCTCTATGTACCCCTGTTCCTCTTTAACGTGGGTGGGCTCTATGTACCCCTGTTCCTCTTTAATGTGGGGGGACTCTTGGTCCTCCTGGTCCAGATTGGAGCTCCACTCTCGCTTCTCTTGTTTAAACACCGACCGCTGCTGGACGTCTGTTGAGAATAATGAAATACAAACAAACCCTGTAATACCTTGTTAACAACTGTATCACTTTCTACGTGTGTTTTGCTTAACTGTGAGATAAAAGGTTATTTTGGGAGAGCTGTTCTTGTTAAATTGTTCATGTAAAAACATTTTAAAAAGCCAAATGCATTAAAAAGTAAAGATAAAAGCCTAAAACGCTCTGTGAAAATATCAAATTTGTATATGAACAGTCTAAATAAAGACTGAACAGTTCATCAAAATGGGATTTATTCTAGACAATATATATAATACATAAAGATTTTTTAAAAGTTTGTAAAAATAGCAGTTTAAAAGGACTTTGGTTCAGTAGACGTGTCCTGGCCTACTCATAATAATTTAGAAAAGAACACATTTGTTTAACGTTAAAATAATTTCAGTCTAAATATGAAATTATGTTATTTTTTATAACAGTTTTCAGCCACAGCTCATTGTTTTATTTATAAGAAATACTTTGGGGAAAATGTAGTTTTGCCATTGCACACTGACGTCACTAACATGCGTCTGCGTCTCGCGTCGCATCATAACCATAGATGTGTATCTAAAAGCCTTTATATACACACACATCTATGATCATAACCACGTCGCTTAGTGAAAGTGTAGTCGGATTCTCTAAACCCTGCAGTTGTTTTCCTAATTCATGAATTCTCCCAACCATTTTCCCTTGAAGGGGCGTGGTGGTTAGCACTGTTGCCTCACAGCAAGAAGGTCCTGGGTTTGATTCCACCCAGTGGCCTTTCTGTGTGGAGTCTGCATGTTCTCCCCGTGTCTGCGTGGGTTCTCTCCGGGTTCTCCGGCTTCCTCCCACAGTCCAAAGACATGCTCTGGGGATCAGGTTAATTGGGGACTTTAAATTGCCCGTAGATGTGTGAATGTGAGTGTGAATGGTTGTGTGTCTCTGTGTAGCCCTGCGATTGGCTGGCGACCAGTCCAGGATGTACCCTGTCTATCGCCCGAAGTTGGCTGGGATGGACTCCAGCCCCCCCCGCGACCCTGTGTGCAGGATATGACGGTATGGGATATGAGGTATGACGATGGATAGATGGATTTTCCCTTGACCGCATGACGTTTTCCATAGAGGTTAAGGTCAGGAGGTCATTTTTTTGACAATTCGAATTCAGGCTGGAATAATAATAAAAAGGTCATATAGTAACCGAGGGTACACTGCTTCCTGTAATTAAGATAGTGGGTATTTCATGAACCAACCTGTTCTGTGTAAGCGAAGCTTAGGGTTGAGAGTTGCGTTCACTTGTTTCTTCAGTCGCTCGTTCTCCTCCTTTAACCGAGAAGCTTCCTCCTCGTACTCGGCTATCGTTCTTTCAAACAGCACAAATATTTCATCTTCGATACTTGTTAGTCGCTGGTTGACTAAAGATCTCAAAATTTGGAGTTTAGACATTATCACTCGACAGAAACGTCCTCCAAACACCGTTTACTTCCCTTAAAACTCGCCAACGCTGTGTTGCTAGCTTCGGCCTACCAGACACGCTAAGCTGAATCGCCGCCGGGAAACGAGTGAGAGGAAAACATCCAGGAAAGACAAAGTTGACCACCTAAAAATACCTCCGACAAGTTTATCCAGAGCTACATAAAGTCTGGATGAACTGGATGGATCAGTACGGATGAAGCTAACGGATGCTTTATCAACACAACAACGAGACTCAGCTGTTTATAGGGACGCCATTTTTCCATCGGGGAAACATCCGTTTCCGCTAAAACCTCGTTGGTAACTTTCAAAATAAAACAATTTAAACAAATACAATGAATGCGTCTTCATTCCGATCTTAGATTACTTTCCATATTTCCCATTTGTAAAAGTTGTGGCTAGTGCATGGAAAAGGACTCAAACGATTGTTATCTAATATTTGTGTTTTTTTAGAAGACCTCAAATACCGTTTAATCATTTTCAGCACCACTGCTCCATCTGCAATGCAAAACGGAAACAGTGATGTATTACATATTGTTTGGATACACTAAATCAACGGTTTGTCATGTCGGTATTTACTTCGTTCCTGATCCATATGTACAGTAAAGGGCTACACACATAACCAAGGTAAACATCTGTAGGGGAGACTTGCATGTTTTGTTTTAGTCACAACAGTTGAAGCAATATTACTTTAGAACGCCAAAGAGTCTGTGACCTCACAGCAGAGAAGCCTGGTTGTATAGCTTGTATAACATTTAAATTAGAGGAAAAACGTTTTCTATATTCCAACATATATGCATTTTGTAATCATCTCCATGCAGTGTTTTGGTTATGGATAGCGCTAGATATATTTATGTAGGTAATACTTTACAGTTCGACAGAGAAGGAGCGCTAGCAGAAGGCGCGCAGACATTTAAGACATAACACTCCAAGCATGCAAGGTTGGAGAGATGTGGAGAAGGTCTGAGTCTCAGCCGTACTAAGGATTGTGAAGCCCATCGAGGACACAGTAGCAGTGGGACACAGGTCTCACGTGTGTGTGTGCGTGTAGGCCCTAGGGGATAAAACGGGTGTGGGGAGGACATCAACGTACTTGAAAGAGGGAAAAAGAACGACGGGTAGAAAAGTAGGAGAAACAGATGGGGAGGGTTTCATTCAATTGAAGGCTCAAAGAAATGTATAAACCTATCGCCTCGTCATCGGTATAGAAAGAGTTGCTTGTCTCCAGACTTTAATGCTTTATTTTAAGATGTGTGTCAATGAGGCGGAGAGGCTCAAAGAGGGAATAGAGGCGGACAAATAAAAGTAAATAACAAAGATGTGAAAATACAACAATAATGTGTTGATGAGGAAACAAACATGATTCTACTGGTGAGGACGGCTTTTTGTGAATGAGCCAACTCATGAGAACACAATACTGTTTGGTATTTTATTCATAATTCTGCCCATAAAAATACAATACAGTGGAATTTAGACAAAGAGATAAATCCCCAAATCCATGTACTATCTAATCTGTACATCTGTGGTCATATAACACGGCCTGCAGTAACACAAATGACCCCTCAAAATGACAGAAAACCAGCGACAAGCTTCACATGTTACACTTCATGTGGTGGTACTGTGCCGCTATCGGGTATCCAGGTTCTTCCTCTTTAATGTTTGGGAGCTCCGGGTCCTCCTGGTTCAGACTGAGGAGCCACTCCTGAGGCTCTTTGACCAGCAACAGCTGCTGGACGTCTGTGGAGAATAATGAGATACAAACACCCTTTACAACACTGTAATGACAAGTTAACTACTCCACTGATATCATCACCTTGAGAGGTCGAGAGGTGCACAAAGTTGTGGAGGAAAATACGGGACAAATGTGTCCGCGATGAAAAGCAGCAGTGGCGATGCACGGGGCAATAAAGTCTATGATAAATAAATAAACAAACCAACGACTTCCACACACAAAGACGTGACTCTCTAGGTCGTCTTCGACAAAAAAAACGTTACTCCACCTGTTGTTCTGGTGGAGATCTCCCTCCATGAATACAACCCGCCAATGCAACCGCAAATGACGGGTTGTAGAACCATTTCTTCCGACAAAAGCTCTTCAATGTGATCCGGTCTCTCGTAAACATTCTTCGTTTTAATAATGGCGGTATTGTGCTATGAAAACGGAAACGTGAGACTCCGTAAAGGACGTAGTTAGCAGACGCAGGTCTGCGTTTCCTTGCGTCGCTCTGAAAACGCAGAAGCATAAACTAGGCTTTAGAGACTCTATAATACGAGCGCACTTTGTGTTAAGCATCTTCTTTCATGTTGTTGTTAAACTGGCTGAAATAGGTCCGTGCATGTTAAACTGCAGGACAGAACGCTCTTGTTGCAAATAAACTTTGTCATATTGCTTTGATTTAATTCTCCAGTCTAGTCCCTGTTTTGCTCGCACGACACAACGCACGCAAGCCTTTTAGAACCATGGATTGAAACGAGTGCGTCGACACAACGGCGCGTAAAGACGCAGACGCATGCGGCAGACTTAAAACCCCCACGAGGGTTTGGTCCTCACACGTACCGTGACCGTGGTCTGGTCTGGTCTGATCGGTCAAGCCACAGACACCACAGTGTGCTGTGGACGGACCTTCCTCACTCACTTCTTCCCTCCTCATCCTCGACGCCCATACACTCTGTTGTCTCTAGATATTAGGATACAGTTTGATAGCGCTTGTTGATTTTACATGATATTGATCCGATTAGTTTTGGTGGAAGTTGATAAAAGGGCACAACACCGTTTCAGATGTTCAAATATACTTTCAGTAATGAAGGTTACAAAATCGTATAATATTCCATCTCCTTATTTCAACATGCAAATCGTACTTCATTTGGAGACCACATCTGAGCTGGTGTTATCAAACGGAACAGACTTGTACCTCATTAAGATGAGGAGTATTTAATGGACCGACCTGCTGCGTGTAGCCAAAACTCAGGGTTGGAAACAGCGTTCACCAGTTTCTTTAGTCGCTCGTTCTCCTCCTTTAACCTGGACGCTTCCTCCTCGTACCCTGCCATCGTTCTTTCAAACAGTTCAAATATACCGTCTTCATTATCTGGTAGTTGCTGCTTGACTAAGGTTCGCAACAACTCGACGTTAGACATTTTCACTCGAAAAAAAACTTTTACTCCACAGATACTTTGCCGCACAACAAAGACACTCCACTGTTTCTGAAAATGGTCTGTGCCATTTTATCAACAGAGACACTTCCGTTTCCGCTGAAACCTATTTGGTAACCTTCAGAATAAAACTCTTTAAGCGAATACCATTATTTTATCCTAGTTACAGGTTTAAGGTTAGGGTCACTTTCCATATTTTCCATTTGTAAAAGTTGTGGGAAGTGCATGGGAAGGAACAATGATGTATGTGGCTAAAATGGATGGATTAGAATTAAAACCCCATTGGAGAACGAGGCATTTAAGTAGATAATGTGCACCACGGGGTGGCAGTATCTCAACAAAAAAGGTTAGCAAACTCTAAAAAGCGTCCGTGAAGAAGAGCACGACTTCCGGTGCCAGACGGATGTGCTTCCGGTGTCTCCGCACACATGTGGTAAACAAGCGACTACTCACCCGGGTGTTCAAGCATGGACTCCTCGCTGAAGTGGGAGAATTTGCCCACCGCGCCGAGTCTAAAGAACTTGACAGAGGCGGGATTCGGTGTCCTGAAGGAGTCTCAGCACGCTGCTGTTCAGGACTTGACCAAAGCGCACATCGACTCGTTTGACCACGCCGTCACCGAAGGGCTCAGCCGCGCCGTGCAGGTCAGCGACTTATCAACCACATGTCACAAGAAGTTGTTTCAACTTTAATACATTGACTTTAAACTGAACGTCAAATGCTCAGTTGGTTTCGGTTAATATAACTTGTTCCAAAACCTTCTAATTGTACTTTAATATATATATGAGACCCCCCCCCCCAGGCTTAATTTCGATTATTCACCTTTACTTCAAGGCCATCCCTCCCTTGGAGTTCACCTTCAGGGAGGACCGGTTGACTATCACGTTTGTTGAGGCCGCCATCTACACCCCGATGGTCGCCAAAGGGAACATCTGCAAGGAGCTGAAGGTGTTTCCAGCAGAGTGCAGGGGGAGGAGATGCACATACAAAGGGAAGGTGGTGGTAAGTCAGATCAGATGTGCGCAAATTGCTAAAAGATCAAACGCAGACCTGACACGTCTGTGTCTTAACCCATGCCAGTGCCAGGATCACATTTTGGTGTTGTTGTTTTTATTATTGCTTGCTTGCTGTATCCTCTCAGGCCGATATCAGCTGGTCAGTCAATGGAGTCCCCAAAGGCATCATCAAACAGTCCCTGGGTCAGGTGCCAATCATGGTCAAGTCCAAGCTATGTAACCTGCACGGCTTGTCCCCCAAAGAGCTCGTGGAGCACCACGAAGAGGCAGAGGTAAGACATATATTTTACATACACATTTGCCAGATTAACTGAAATTGAATCTAGGTATGTGCCTACTCGTATACATATTTCCTTTATTACGTTCACAGGAAATGGGAGGCTATTTCATTGTGAATGGAAATGAGAAGGTCATCCGTATGCTGATTATGCCAAGGAGGAACTATCCCATTGCTATGTCGAGACCAAAGTGGAAGACCAGGGGCCAAGGATACACTCAGTATGGTAAATATAATCTGTGCAAAAGCAGTTTAATGATCCATAGTCCACATTCAACAACTACACCTGAATACCTTTTTTAAACGGATGTCAACATAAACACTTCCTCACAGGTATTTCCATGCACTGCGTGAAGGAAGAACACACCGCCATTAACATGAATCTACATTATTTGGAAAACGGCACCGTGATGCTGAACTTCATCTACCAAAAAGAGCTCTTCTTCCTCCCACTCGGCTTTGCACTTAAGGTAACGATGGCTGGAGGGAGTGAATAATACAGCAGCATACAGAGAGATGTTAAATATTTTTGTTGAAATATAAGGGTGGCATATGATGTGCTAATACAGTTCTGTGACCTCCTCTAGGCCCTGGTGGACTTCACAGATTTTCAAATATACCAGGAACTGATCAAGGGCCGCGAGGATAATTCCTTCTATAAAAGCTGTGCGTCTGAGATGCTGCGCGTTGTCATGGAGGAGGGCTGCATCACCCGCAGCAAGGTGCTAAATTACCTGGGAGAGCGTTTCCGGGTTAAGCTGAACCTTCCTGAGTGGTACACAAACGAGCAGTGCGCCAAGTTCCTGATCGAGTACGTAGTAGTGGTGGTGGTGTCGTCATCGGAAACAAGCGTTTTGTTTTTGTGCTACATTTAGTGAAATAATTGTGTTCTGTTTTGACCAGGGAGTGCGTCTGCATCCACCTAAAGTCGGACACGGAGAAGTTCTACCTGCTGTGTATGATTACCAGGAAACTCTTCACGTATGCCAAGCAGGAGTGTATGGAGGAGAACCTCGACAGCATCACGTTTCAGGAAGTGCTCACTCCGGGCAAATTCTATCTCATGTTTATGAAGGTACAGTAATGAAAATGTTCACTTCACTTCACGCCGATGACCCCAGAACCAAGTTACGGATTTATCCCCCACAATTATTCCCAACAGGAGAGATTGGCGGCCTGGTTGTCGTCTGTGAAGCTGTCCTTTGAAAAGAGAGGCAAAAGGCTGAAGGGCTCAATAAACCATGAGTTTGTGATGAAGATGTTCAACATGTGCACTGATATCAGCAAATCCTTCGAATATCTGCTGGCCACAGGGAACCTCGTCTCCAAGACCGGTACGTCCTTATGCGTTATAGGCCATATAGTGGACGCCATCACTGGGATGTCAGCCATTTGTTTGTGGAATTCCCTTTTTAAAGCTTAGAGTTTGGTGTTTTGGTTTCGCACGCACTGTGGTTGCAACTTGTCAATCATGATCTAGCCACGCCCCAAAGCGCACCCCGCTTTACGATATACGTCATAAGCCGCACCATCGTTTACTAAATGAACATGCTGTATTAAAAGGTGACCTGCAACTAGAGACTGAGACCATAAACTCATGTCAACGCGCTCCTACTGACCATTAGAAATTGTAAAACGTTGAGTACACTTCACTTTCCAGAATGGGAGGTTGCAGTCTGCTATGAGCGCCTGTTGTGGTATCAAAATGTAATGTGCCTAATAAAATAAATACTGTTCTCCCCTCCGGACACAGGCCTTGGAATAATGCAGAACACCGGCTTTTGTGTTTTGGCTGACAAGCTCAACTTCATCCGCTACCTGTCCCACTTCCGCTGTGTGCACAGAGGGGCAGCGTTCGCCAAGATGAGGACCACTTCTGTCCGCAAGCTGCTGCCCGAGTCCTGGGGCTTCCTGTGTCCCGTGCACACTCCAGATGGGGAGCCCTGTGGACTCATGAACCACATGACGGCCATCTGTGAGATCGTGACAGCGTCCATGGCCACCACAACGCTGACTGCGTTGCTGTGTTCTCTTGGTTGGTCAACTGTTCTGCTAAATGAAGGCCATGATGTACAAATGCATAATGTTGTTCACCCGAGCGCGTCACACCTGCGTTGTCTGGTGCAAATTCTAAAGCACAGAGTTGTTTCTGACGTTTGCGTTTCAGGTGTTACTCCAGTGGACGGGACCCCTGGCCAAGCCTTTTCAGAGTGCTACCCGGTGGTCCTGAACGGGGAAGTCGTGGGCTGGGTGGAGACTGAATTGGCCCACGGTGTGGTCGACTCGCTGCGCAGGTTCAAGGTATGTTGACTGTGAGGTGTACAAGTTAAACTGTCCGCACCGCCCCCCCCTCCCCCACTGTGTGCATGTGTGTGCGCGCGCAGTGAGCTGACGTTTAAAACGAATCCCCTCAGGTGCTACGAGAGAAGAGGATCCCTCCCTGGACGGAGATTGTGCTGGTTCCTAAAACGGGCAAGGCCAGCCTGTACCCAGGATTGTACCTCTTCACAACCCCCTGCCGTATGGTGCGACCCGTACGCAACCTGGCTCTTGGCAAGCAAGAGTTGATCGGCACCTTTGAGCAAGTGCGTGTGTAAGCTTCACATTTCAAGACGCTGCGGTAATTGCATTACGTTAATACCTGAAGCTCACACTTCTTTTTTCCAAATGCATTGTGCCAGCTTTACGTCAATGTGGGCATCGCGGAGGATGAGATCGAACCAGGGGTGACCACTCACCAGGAGCTCTTCCCGCACAGCATGCTCAGCGTGGTGGCGAGCTTCATCCCCTATTCTGACCACAACCAGAGTCCTAGGAACATGTACCAGTGTCAGATGAGTAAGTCGGAGGACGAATAGGCCGATACTTTTAATTCTTTTATTTCCATTGTGAGGAACTTTGTCCTTTTTTGGAGGTTGAAGATCTTCTCTTTTCAGGTAAGCAGACTATGGGTTTCCCCCTGCACTCATTCAAGGAACGCTCGGATAACAAGCTGTACCGCCTGCAGACCCCTCAGAGCCCGCTGGTCAGGCCCTACACCTACGACCACTACAACCTGGACAACTACCCCAGCGGCACAAACGCCATCGTGGCCGTTATATCCTACACAGGCTACGACATGGAAGATGCTATGGTGAGAAACACTATAGTCGGGCACATTTTGTTAGCAACAGGCTCTTAACAGGGGCATTATATTTATTTATACGCTCTTTGTTTGTGGGTCTGGCTGGTCCACAAAACGTTTTTGGGCAATAACTTGGGAATTAATATGCTAGTTATTTCACACGTAGTTGGACAAAATGATACGGGGATGATATTTTGGACAGACGTGTATTTAAACTGCAGCTTAAGCTCTAAAACTGGTTCCTGATACAGTTTGATTCCATCTTGTTAGATTGTGAACAAGTCATCGTGGGAGAGAGGCTTTGCCCACGGCAGCATCTACAAGACTGAGCTGGTTGACTTGGCAGACAAAGTGAGGGGAGACGACAGCGTGGTGTTTGGGACCACGCCCGGGGACCCCAAAGTAAATGGACAACTGGACGATGATGGACTTCCGCACATTGGAACAACACTTAAGTACGGAGACCCGTTCTACAGCTACATCAACCTGAACACAGGCCAGTCCTTTGTCACCTACTACAAGTAAGTCTCTTTTTCATTCTCTACACATCCAAAAATAGTAATTCTTCAATAAGCCGTAAATCTTGTTCTGCACTCTTTAATTCTGCCGCTCAACTTTTCAAATTACAAACGACATGTGAACGTTTTTCTCTCTAGGAACCAGGAGGCCTGCGTTGTGGACAACGTAAAGGTCTGCAGCAGCGACAACGGCCTCGGCCGCTTTAAGCGCGTGTGCATCACCATGCGAGTGCCACGAAACCCCACCATCGGGGACAAGTTCGCCAGCCGCCACGGCCAGAAGGGCATCCTGAGTCGCCTGTGGCCGGCCGAGGACATGCCCTTCACAGAGAGCGGCATGTCTCCCGACATCCTGTTCAACCCGCACGGCTTCCCCTCCCGCATGACCATCGGGATGCTGATCGAGAGCATGGCCGGCAAGTCGGGCGCCCTCCACGGCCTGAGCCACGACGCCACGCCCTTCACCTTCTCCGAGGAGAACCGCGCGCTCGAGTACTTTGGCAAAATGCTCCGGGCGGGAGGATACAACTACTACGGCACGGAGCGGCTCTACAGCGGAGTGAGCGGCCAGGAGCTGGAGGCCGACATCTTCATCGGCGTGGTCTACTACCAGCGGCTGCGTCACATGGTCTCCGACAAGTTCCAGGTGAGAACGACCGGCGCGAGGGACAAGGTGACCAACCAGCCAGTAGGCGGGAGGAACGTTCAGGGAGGGATCCGTTTCGGCGAGATGGAGCGCGACGCCCTGCTGGCCCACGGCTCGTCCTTCCTGCTGCACGATCGCCTCTTCAACTGCTCCGACCGGTCGGTGACTCAGGTGTGCGTGGACTGCGGCAGCCTGCTCTCGCCCCTGCTGGAGAAACCGCCGCCCTACTGGTCGGCCATGCGCCACCGCAAGACGGTCTGCGTGCTGTGCGGGAAAAGCGACTCAGTGGACTCTGTGTCAGTTCCTTACGTCTTCCGCTACTTTGTGGCCGAGCTCGCGGCAATGAACATCAAAGTCAAATTGGACATAAAGTGAGTTTGGCAGCAAAAGCACACGAGTCATGCCGTCGATGCTGATTTAAGGTACAGTGTGTAGCATTTGGTTATTGTCTATTGGCAGGAAACTGGATCCTTTGATACACCACAAGGTGCCTCCTGCGTCTGCCGCAGTAGAAAGTAGTTGTCTTACACAAGGGGGAAGTTTGAATGTGCGAGCAGTCGGCTAGATGCCACCAGATCCTACACATTGCACTTTTAAATAAAGTTTCTACAATTCACCATCTACACAGAAAGAATAAACTAAACTACGTTCCTTTTAAGTTTTATCTCCTTTTGTCAATCAAGAGGATTATTTGCCAAAATCAATGATAATGTGTCAGCAAATTATGGACAGAATAATGTGTACAGTCACATTGAGCGTTGAATAAAAATGATATTTTACAATGACTTCAGATTGTTTACTTAAACTTTAAAACCACATTACAATAAAGAGTCCCACTTTATAGTTTTGTTGTGGAAGTAATATCAGCTAGTTTAATGGTTTTACAATATTGAATCTGAAAAGTGGCATAGCAATGATTCAATACGCTTCCACAGTTTAGTGGAGACGGTAATAATCCTTAAAATAGATCATCACTTTCTCAAACGTTATCCTTTAAGTACAGTACTTTACTGATTAAATTTGTAAAAGTATTCAACTAAAGACAACACTTAGGGAAGACTGAATAAGAATTTGCTTTATTGTGATATATATAATTGATATGAACCACCATACACTGGAATAAAAGTTTTAGGCCATATATATATTTACCCTCGTAACTATAGCTGACAGACCAATTCTTCTGAAATGTCAAGTAGAATAGAAATAATCTAATATAAATCCCTTAATCTAATAAGATTCCTAGCAGAAAGCACAGAAGTAAAAAAAGTACCCTAGTTGAAAGTCCGATTATCACAATTATCTTTGAACATTTCCATGATTAGTTCCCGGTTGAAGGGACAGCCCTCCCCATTCAGTAGCTTCACACACTTGATTGAGCTTGAATCAGCTCATCGCAGTCGTTGCAAGACATCTGGCAGGTGGAGCACAGTGGGGATGGTGTAGTCCGGTGTCACCGAACCATCTGGCAAAGCAGCTGCTGCACTGCTGATCCAGACCGTCGCCCGTACTTTGGCGTCGAAGCCCCCCTGAATATCCGTGTCCAGAGAGTCTCCCACCATAACACAGTCCCGGGCCTCCACCTGGAGCATGTTGAAACACAACGTGAAGATGGAGAGGAGCGGTTTCTGCTCGGCGTGTTCTCCCCCAACCACGATGGCGTCGAAGAACTCGTCACATCCGACTGCCTCCACCTTCTCCCTCTGAGTCTGAGCCTCCCCGTTGGTCAGCAGCAGCAGCTTGTATCGGCCGCGCAGCTCCCTCAGGAGGTCGCGGATCTCAGGGGAAAGACTGAGGAACTCCAGGCGGCTGCTTTTCCACAGGTAGTAGCACTGAGAAGCCAGCGAGTGTGGGGGGCAACGACTGCCCGCAGCCTCCAGGATGCTCTCCTCCCAGTGACCCACGCGGACCTCATCAATAGATCTGCCGGCCGAGGGGTCAAAGGTCTCCTGGAAAAGCTTCCGCTTGAACTTGTCACAAATACTGCTGGCGGTGATGTCGTCTACGCCCAGCGAAGTCTTCAAAAGTTCACTGGTCTGTAAGATAGAAATAGAAAAAACATTTAAGGATATAGAACATTTATGCAAATATACACAAGTGGTCAAGTTTAAATCAAAGTGCAAGAAAACTGTCCACGGTGGGAGAGGCAGGTGGTACAGACCGTTGAGGTCGAGGTGGGGCTTTAAAACACCCATTCAGAGAAAGATTTAACCACGGGGCTTCTGGTTGGTTATTTTTCTAACCAAATCAGGCAAAACGTACGTCTCGGATACATTAAACCTCATCCAGGATTCAGACCTTCCTTATAATTTGACTTATGGATCATATAAAAAAACTACAATTAAAGTATGTAAAGTAAAAGGAGTCATCAAGCAGGATCTATACCTTATACTTCCATCGTTTATCAGGTTTTAGTGGGGCAGAGCTCTACACGAGATCACTAAACTCCATGTACAAATATTAGTGATAGTTGACCCACCCTGACAGGTGCAAACACAATAAGGTGTGTGTGTGAGAGGGGGGGGGCAGAGATAAGTTGTACATAATAAAGTTGTACATAATAAGTGATCATTAGGTGTAATGATCACTTATTATGTACAACTTTATTTGTATTAAGTAACTCGATCCATCATGAAGAAGAGTAAAAGAAGGGCCCCTTTAACTGAGTCCATGGAGCCGTTGCTATCAGCAGTCTCTGCCAGCGTTACAGACACGGGAGCTAACGTTAGCTGTAAATGCTACAGGACGAGTGAGGTCATCACCTTTGTGATCGCCATTCCTCCCGCCCGACTCGTCTCAATGAGCGTGTTGTCCAGGTCGAACAGTATCGCCTTCACGGCCTGACCGTCCATCGCCGCGGCGCGACTGCTTCCTCCCCCCCGAACAACCGTGTTTCACACCGCAGACAGCGCGCGCTGAGCCCGGTGCGGAAGTAGCCCGCTGCCGGGCGAACTGCATGGTGGGAGTTGCAGTTTAGTTTATATGTGTGTGCAGCGCTGGCGAGTTTCTCCCTCGAGAGGACGCCACTAAATCAAAAATACAAGCTGTGTTGGAGTTTCTTTTTTTGGCCACAATATTCTCAGATCACACTTCACTTATAACCACTTAAATGACAAGACAATATAAATGTTTGTGCCATTTCAAAATAAAGTCAAGAGGCCGGCTTGTACCTCAGCAGTTGTGTCGATAAAACTTTAATTTAATTTAAAAATGTTATTTACATATATAATATAAGTATTGAGGATTGGCTCACAAAAACAAATCAGAAAAAAACGTGATTATATATATTGTAGTGGCTCTCGCTTATGAAGCTGACGTGCTCTTTTATTATGAAACAGGCTACTGTGGGCCGCAGCCTACGCCAAAACAAAACAACCGCTTTCAATATATAATATATATAAAAAGTCTTAAAGCGAGGATTTTGCTTTGCGTCGTTATTATACAGGGTTCTAGAAAGCACAAGCTATTTTCCCTTATGGGCATGCTTCTAATTTCCGACTGAACTGTAACAAAAACCTGCTTATATTAAACTTTCATTATAAATTATTTATAGACCGCAATAATCCAAAGAACTGTCAGTGTCATCACTTATCTTATCAAATTTCCTCTACGTGACACTTGACCATGCATGTTGCCAATTAAAACACACATGAGACACACTTTAGAATTCAAAACATACCAAAACTATTATGCAACCTTTCCTTTAACTTCTCTTAACTGGCAATGTGCCAGAGGTTCACACGCAACAGTGTGCAGGCCTGTTTTAATCCCCAGAAATCACAACAATAGTTTCTCACATTACCTAACAGCATTCTTAGTTGCAGCTCATGTGCTCTCGTCTTTAAAAACAACCGTCCTGACCTATTTATTTTAATCACCTCGGTCAAAAAAAATGACAACTATAAATCAAAAAATGATGTGAGAAGCCTAGACTGCTATTACCCATGAGAACAATCCACGTCTACCGCTTGCATGCGAAGGAGGAACACGCTTGTCTAAATGACAGGCGTGCAGCAAATAAGATCAAAACCTTTTATCGCCCGTAACCTTAAAACGGCAAGAGAAACGTAAGCACGTGTGAAGAGTGAACCAGTGCAAAGATGGAATTCCCCTTTTGATGGAGGAAGGGATAGAGGGAGAGGGGGGGGACAACAGCAAATGACCCCCCTAACAGGCTGCTAGTGATTCTTTTGAGGGACTGGTGAGACCTGGTGTCTTCGTCTGCTAGACACCATTCCTCTTTTATCTGTGCAGGTGGCCGTGGCTGCACATGGTATATTATATATAGTATATATATTATAACTCTCAACTGGGCACGAACATTGAGGGTGTCATTCGGCCAAACATCCAATCAGGAGGAAGAAAACACGAGTGTATACATGATCTGCCTCGTTTTTCCATGCTCTCAATACGTCATTATCGTCCTTTATGTCCTTCCGACCCTCCCTTGTAATTGTTTTTTTATATATATGCGGCGTTCATCAGGGCCAGTGGTGTTTCTGATCTATGGCTTCCTCTTTAGGTGTGGGTATGTGGGTTGGTTTGATCCTCTTTCATAACTAATCCTAGCTCGAGCCCGGATGGGACCAGTGTAAGCCAGAGGGACAGGTGAGTCTTTGGGACATCCGAGGAAGGAGCTTATTACTTGGGATTCAAATGTCGCTATAGCTGCTCCTGGGTCTTAACATATCGGACTGAATTGCATTGCCTGTTACCCAAGACATGCATTGTAGAAAGTGTGTAGGTTACCTACAAATTACCACATTAATATTTCCTTACAGAGAAGCAACTAATCTGTGACACTTTAGACGAGGTGACGCAAAAGTAATTATCCACCACCAGCGAGACTCTCCAAAATAATGGAACTTTGTCAGATCTGTAAGATTCTGATCAACATGCCTTGAATTGCTGCTGCGAAAGAAGGGAGAGTGATAATAACCGGAACTCAGCTGTCCTTTCTTTGTAAAGCTGCTGCCATGAGACCTGGCCTCTGATATGGAGATGAACCTCACCCACACACACACACACACACACACGCACACGTAGATGTGAGATTTTATCGAGGCCGGGGGAATGTATGAACTACAGTCTAAATGTGCCTGATAGCACTTGTCCTGGTAACACAGTCTGGAAACCTGCATGTACACACAAACAATAACATCTCCATCCGTTGGACGAGGTTTTACGAGCGTCTCTATGATCAAAGAGCGATAGTTTTACTGTGAGTAAGAGGCCTCCGGTAATCCTCTGAAAGTTCAAGGTTCTGTGTGATGAAGCGAACCAGTTCATGTGAATCTGTTGGGGCTGTTACAGAGATGAAGCAAAACACATTCAAAGTGGTTCAAAGCAAAGAAATGTTGGATGTCAGTGATTCTATTGTTGATGGGAATTATTAAGTGTAAACTGAAAGTTGCCCTGCTGCCTATGACGTTGAGCAGGATTAAGAGGAGCAGCCTCCCCTGCTTGGTCAGCAGTACTAATGGACCCCGACGGACAATCCAACACAATGGAAAGAAGCCATTAAAGACACCTTTGCCCTCATGGCAGCACAAGTCTCCTCGTCTACTGGGGGAAGGAACAGTTGCATGTGATCCCCACAAGTAAGATGATGTCAAATCCCAATGAGACAAATAGTTCCTACCTGTCAGGATGTCACTGCAGTCTCTTCAATGGGGATCATTGTGCTGAAGCAAAAGCTACGTTCAGGCGATTGTTTGTATCTTGAGCAGTTTACTTCCATAGGGGACAAGCAATGATTCCACAAACATTTGCTGAAGGAACATCTTGTGAAGGTTTTAAAGGTAACCACTCCTCATGGACGAGTCCCGGATGGCCACGTGTCAATCCGCTGGACGTAAAAGGACTCGAAGCGTACGCACTTTTTCTAATGCTATGGAATACTTGAAAGAACTACACCTGCCAGCAGATATGAAAAACGTAATTCGTTTACTGTCAGAAAAATGGAGAGTCAACGCATGGGAAATATTGGACAGAGATCAAAAAGCTTCTTTTATAACTTTATAATGTTTCAATTACTGATTCATTAAAAGCAGCTCTCAAGAATATCTATATAACTTTCTTCTATGAGCACGACTTATAGTCAAAACAGGTGGACAATATTTTATATAAACTAAAGTGTGGCTTTGCGCTCAGCAGTGCTCTTGGTGAAAAGACGGGACCTCCCATAGTCTGCAGGCTTCCCGGGGCCCCCGTCTGTGTGCCGATAGACTCCAGACCCCAGAAGACCGTCCACTCTCAGTGCAGTCTGAGTTGGGACACAGCAAGAGGAGACCAGAAGAGACTTTGAGAATTGAGATTTTTTTTATTAGAGAGATTCTATGAAAACTATTGTTGTCAATTGGAAATCTCTCTTCCAATAACCTGGTGAGCCAATAAATGAACAGTTTCTTGAGAAAAGAGAGATGATACGTTCTATTTTAACACTCCCTACATGATGGGAACACACGTTTCTGTTTCAGCAGGAGCAACGTCACATGTAATCACGCAAAAAACAAACCTACAAAACGCTTTGCAGTTGTGACTTTCACTTATTAGAGCAAGAGGCTTGATTCTTCCAAGTCACAGCAACTTTAAAAAATGTCTTGATGCAGTTTGTGATAACTAAGTCAGACTCAGTTCGTCCATTTATTCTGTAAAATAAATCAGGGAACCTGAATGAGTCGAGTCAGCTCTACAGACTAATGAAATAGCGGATGCGCTTACTCATCACCAGGAATGAGTAGCCTGCAGTGAGAGTGTGTGTGTGTGTGTGTGTGTTTGTGTGTGAGATCCAACGCACAGCAGTTACAGATACCGAATCTACGTTACGTCACGCAATCCTATAGGTGAAACGTTCCGTCTGACAGGAGGAGGACAGGCTGGGACAGGTGAGTGGACGAGGTGTATCAGAAGCTTTGATGCCTCTCTGACACACACAGAAGGCAAAACCACAACACGGGCACGACTTGTTGCTACCAAAACGATAATTGTTAAATGTCAGGTTTGGAAACCCGGCATGTTTCTATTCATAAAAATGGAAGTTCAATTCAAAGCTCATTTCACATCCACGCAAATGATGCCCAAGACAGAAAGATACTGTTAAAAAGTAGTTGTATACACTACAGGTTCAACCGAGGCTGGTCCAAAATCATAAGCTACCATTTTAGTTCAAAATGGGAAAAACAGGCTTGTGAAACAGTTACTTCCCTGTGTGATGGTCTGACATAAAGGGTTTGAACAACCTCTACCAGGGACAGTTACAAGGCTCACGCAGTTCTATCAACCCATAACAGCTTTAGACAACTCGCCAACTTTGGGCAAATGTGTCTTCTAAGCGCCTTACATCATACAATCCAGGTTTGGATCGGTGGTTCCCAACTCACAACACACATCGGATATGACTAATGGTTTACGATGCTTTCTCAAATATGTTCTGAAGCTTTCGCTTCCACTTTCCGGACCGACTCTCCAAACCCACGTTCTCCCTGCTCCCGGGGGTCCGGCCTCCCCAGTCCTCCCTGCTTGTGTCCTAAGCCGTCGAACATCAGCGATATGATCTGCTTTGCTTTGTGTCTTTTCTTCTTGCATTTTACTGACCAATGCACACATATGGATTCACCTACAGAGGTTTAACTAACCTACAAATAAGTGCTCAACAAAACGTGGTGATGAAATACGGCCTCCTTCCACACCTCTACCTTTTGTACGACACGGGGGCTTTAGTTCATCCATCGAGCCCCTTTCCAGAGTTTCCCCTTCCATTAAATCCCTAATATGAACTTAATGTTTTTATTTGTTGTTTAGGTAATAGAATATTGTATAATAGTTGATTTTAAATAGTATCTGATTATTGTAGGTTATACTTATGGAGCAGTTTTCAGTGATTATTGTGCATATGGGAAGCGTAGTCAAGTGTTCGAACTTAAACCTTCAAATCCTTGC